CAAAGTAGGTTTAAATAAGTATATTGGTCAGTTAAATAGGTTCAAAGTATCTTCAAAAGTTTGAAAGTAGCATCAAAATTTCGACTCGGGCGGTTTTGTTATTTTAATCGAGATTTACACGTTTGCGCGCATGACGACATGCTAAATAATGCGAGCTGATTTCATATTTTATTCGTTTAATCAGTGATGTTGTTGCTGTTTCTCTCTTCGCGCATTGCAATATTTGTAATTATTACAACGCGTCTACGTGTGTGCGTTTCGGGAAAACTGCGTCGGGAATTAATGATATTTATCCACCCACACGGCGCTTCGTGAACTCCGCGCTTTTTATTCTTTAAATAATAATAACGCACGCGCAATGTGAATTACAGCGACGGATGAATTGTTGTTTCCAGTGTGCGTCGCGATTATCCCGCGTGTAACACGTTTTTGCATACTAACGATCGTATACATAGAATTTGGCGAAAGTAGGTGGCTCTTGGAATCGGAACGATAATGATTGCGAACTTTTTAAATTGCGACGGTGAAATCCGGGGTAAAAAACGGGGGAGCGACGAATGAACGCGCGTCTCTCTCTCTCTCGAAGATTTTATATTTTAAAAGTAATTGTTCTCTAATTTTCTCTCTCGCTTGGTGTATTTATTTATCAAATTCAGTGTTGTTCGCGTTACCGAGAAAGAAAAATATAAGTTTCTAGAGAAAGACACGCATTTTCCCTCGTTAACGAAACGTTGACGTACTTTGCAATCTCTGCGTACAAAGGAAAGTCTTGTTAGAATGATCGCCTAGTTGCGTTGTGCGTCTATTGAACAAGTAGAATATCACCGGCGGAACAAAGACGGAGAACACTCGCGCGCGTCTCGTGCGAGGAGAAAGAGCTCGCGGATAGACGCGGGCAGATAACACGAGTAGAAAGAGGATATCTGGGTCGCGAGTTAATTCCGTATCACATTCTTTTTATTGGGTGTCCTCGGTCTTGCAGCGTGTGATGTCTCGTTTGATCTCTCTCTCTCTCTCGCTCTCTCTCTTTTGCATTGCCGGAAGGCGATTCTCGATTCCCAGGACGAAGCGAAGGTGCCCCGCGGGGGCGCACTCTCGGTTGAAATTACCGTATTGGATTTCTGTTTCCTGTCAGCGAGAAGACCGGACCGCTGCGTCGCGCATGTTTCCACGTTCGCAAAAGCGGAAGAAAGCGCCGATAAAATGAAGACGCACGCGAACTCCCGATGCAAACGCGAGATTACGGACCGTTAAAATCCCCCCGAGCTACGCAACGACGCTCTTTTCCGTAATTTTCCCGAGAAGGCTGATTGGCTGTTTTCTCGCATCGGCTTTTGTATTTGATAAAAATAATTTTGTTTGTTTCTAATAAGAGGGACGCTTCGAGAGATAAAACACTAATCAAACATACGCGTGTACGCTATTTTTATAATCTCCAATATCGGAAAATCTATAACAATTTTTTTGTTCTGACACACACAATGCGCCATGTAACGCGACTGTATCGTTAAACGCGCCGTAAAAGTACATTGTTCGCGCGACGCCGGCAAATACGCGGCGCGGAATCTCTCGTAAACACACATAATTTCCCTTCACAGCCGATCGGAGATGCAGATCAGGCATCAGGCTTTGCACTTTTACGGCGTTTGCCGGCCAAACCGGTCAGCATTCCCGTCAAGGCTTTTCCCATCTTCGGCCAAAACCTCTTCGCGGTTATAATTAGCTTAACCGCGATGCCCGCAGCACCAAACAGCCATTTCCTCTTTATGGATTCTCGTGAAAATGCTATGAGTTTCCTTAGAAGCGTTCTTTGTCCGTGAGCTAAAGCGAACAATGGTTTCTTTACTTCTAAAAATACGACAACGGTTGCCGTATTCAAAACACCGCGCGATTACTTCCGTTAGATCTGTTAAATAGAGTTTATTTAAAATGTACGCTTTTTTTGCGTGATAGATGGATAATTAGCACCTCTGCGGCCGATGATTAATATCTTGCCGTAATACCGTTACGCAATTTGTCGTGCTTACTGGAAAAGCATTATAAAGAAAAAAAACGTAGGAATGTAAAAAAAAAAAAAATTTATCAAATTACGCTCGTTAAAGGAGCAGTTAAAATGACTATAAAGAGAGAAATGTTCGCATCTATTATGTTTAATTAGACCGCTTGTTAGTGTTGCTGTGCACACGGTGTTCAGCAGCGATTAAATTAGATCTTTAAATTGCTACAAATTGTTAAATTATTATTATGAGAGAATGAAAAAATAACGGAGTATATAACTTGCAACTTGTTTCATTACACAGCAATATGTTAACGTTCAATCGTAATCCGTTTAACGAACAGCAAAATGTGATTTATTTTTCGCTATCGATATCTCGCGACACTTTAACGGTCGTGTGATGTTATATGCGCGCAGAAAGAAGATTGAAGCGTGAAAATTGCGTTGAAAAATCCGTGAAAATTTGAATGATATTAATTATCACTCAATTTTGGCCGTGAAGGATCTTAATGTTCGCACTCATGACTCACGTATAGCTACAACGCAATGCCCGGAGCCGGATTACGCTGGCCATGAACCATGGCGAAGGCGAAAATCCCCTTGTCACCCCTATTCTCGTGAACCTTAGCTTCACCCTCTTTTGTATTCTTCCTTACACGATTACTACACGAAACCCCCATGTGCTTCCCCGCGCGTATGTACAACGTAAGTGCACATACTTCCTTTCGTCTGTACGACGTTGAATGTTGGCAAACTTTTTTGCGGCTTGGTATATACAAGACGACGAATTGTTGAAAATATTAACACACCCATATCGTTACAACGTTACATTATTTTTGTAATATTTTACACTATATTTTATTTAAAATTTAATATTTTTTAAAACACTAGCACAACACAGGCGCGCGCTACGCGCAAGCTATTATTGCTTTTATTTTTTTAACGTGTAGTGTGAGTGAACTTAACCTGTCACCACAATGACAGCTAATATATACGTCCTACAAACAATATAATACACATGATGTACATATGAGAGATGTCAGAAATAACGCGTGAAAATCAAACTCAAAAAATAAAAGAAAAAAGGGAGAATGGAAAAACAACACGTGACTAAAGTCAGTGACCTCGCCGCGGTCGCGCGGCTGAGGTCAGTGACTCCACTGCAGTCGCGCGACCGAGGTCATTGACCCCGCCGCAGTCACGCGACCGAGGTCATTGACCTCCCCCACCAAGGCCGCGCGCCCGCGGTCAGTGACCTTCCCCCCACCAAGGCCACGCGGCCGAGGTCAGTGACCCCGCCAAGGCCGCGCGGCCGAGGTCAGTAACATTAATGTAGTATGTATATAGTACATATAATACATATAATACAATATAAAGTATAATATTATAAATATATAATAAATTATATGTATAATATGTATTATTTAATGTAATATATANTATAAATTATAGTCACGTTATTTTCACGTGTTGTTTTTCTACTCTTTCCTGTCACGTGACTTTAGTTACGTTTTTAATTTTCTCTACATATACGATGAACTGTCTCAAAATCGCTTTTATTATTTACTCTCTCGATCTTACCGATTCAATTCGACTCGATCAACCAACCAACCAATCGGCAACGCGGAAAAGAGGCAACAATAGGTGCGATATATTCGAATCCAAACGCGCACTTCTCGGTCCAAATGCCTTTTTTAATATAGGAATGTAGAGTGAGTTCTGTGTGCACGCTGCTGAAATGTTCGATTTCTTTTTTTGTCCGATCAGACTTTTTGTTAGTATAAATTTTTTTTACTATTTTTCAATACACACAATGTTTTCATATTAATACTCTGGGGACTTTGGTATTTTTTTTATTGAACTGTTTCATGTTTTGAGGCACCCGGTATGCGCGCCCAACGAATACACGTGCACACCCGAGGCTTTCTCACAATCGATCGAGCGCTCACACACTGCGCCTCGCGCATATACAGTGTCGTGTTCGCGATACGCGCTCTCGAGCTAGACCGATGCAACGGTGCTAGTTGCATGTATTCATATGCACTTTCGGGCTATCGTGCGCAAGATAGAAGGGGCACAAGAGTGCCCCCGGGGGGAGAACGAGAGTGCAACGTTTCTGGTCTCTCTGCATCCAACAAAAGCTTCTTTAGACGACGAGACGAGAGTGCAACACTCTTCATGTTGCGTGTACATGAATTCCCGGCACTTTAAAAATGTTGGGGGAAAAAACCGCTCTCCGTGTTCAAAAGCCCAGATTCTTATCTGCAATATTGCGATTCTCCGGCGGAATTAATAATATCCCGTTGTGGTTTTTGTCAAATTATCCGATTTGACATCGGATAAATATCGCACCTCGCAGAAATAATATCGAAATTTGCACCGCGCGAATATTCGTCTCGGGAATATTTTCAGTCCGCGTTTCTCGGAGATCTTCATCCGTGAGAATATTTCCAGGCGCATTCTGACCGAATACAGCGAGAGCGTCTGTTCTCCGATGTAATGAAAACGTCTTTCTTTATGTACGAACGTGCGACATATGGGAAACGTGTGCGCACATGAAATTAAAAAAAAAAAAACGTAGCGCTGCCGAGGTTTTATTTGAATGAAAAAAACATTCATCCGTATCTGACGTACGGATTCCGTGATTATTTTCGCGCTGCAATTGTCTATTTATTTCTCATTTATCTTTAACACGCGTAATGTTGATATATTATTTATATTTAACAGATATTATCCGCACAGAAGACGTACATCGGTTAATTAAATTCTTTCAGTACGTGCGCGTTGTTGCACGATAATTGAGATATATGTTTCTTATATTCCGACGAGTGTGTTTCTCTCGTCCGAGATACCCAAACGGAACTCCTGATCTAATCAATCTTGCATTTCTATCCGCCGCGGTGCCCGCCACGTGTGAATAATTTATTTGCGTTGCAGAATTAAAGTCGGATGGCTGTACGTGCAGCAGCGAGGCTCGCGCGCAAGAGCGCTGTGAAGCACGGAAATTACAGCGATGACGCTTCCAGTTTCGAGCTATGAGGAGCTTCTCATTCAGGTACGTCAGCTCACTCACGAGACGATCCTTCTGCAACATCAATTGTCCTCCGACCTCTTCGACAACGCCGATCCGCCGGACGTGAATCACAATTTCTCCTACGTGCAGAAAAATTATGAGAAAGGTGAGCGCATTTATTTCGTCAATTTCAAGATTCTTTGAATTAAAAACTGATAAAAGACACAAACATACGTGTGAGACAAAATCAAAGTGTAAAATTGAATTTTTATCGATTATTTCATTGTCCATTTTTATAAATGAAAATACTCTGTTTTATATATAATACAAGTACAAAAAAAGGATACGTAGACAGAAAATCTTATCTACGAAGAGTTCATCGATTAATCATGTGGTTAGTAGCTCGTTGGCAATGCATCGATCTTGACTATATTTCACAGTCGGACCTCGAGGTAACATATGACATCACAACTGGTGCATTGAACTCTCGTTGAACTTCGCGGCGTCCGCTCCAATATAGCCTTAACTTGCAAGGATGCAAATGAGCGCGCCCGACAAAAAGTCACACATACACACACACACACACACATACACAAGCGATAATACGAATTCGTGCTTGCTGCATTATTTATATCTTATTTGCGTCATAAAAATACCACTCGCACAAAAAAAGCGCTACAAAAAAATAGCACGATATCTACATCTATGAATATATATAATATATATAATATATATATAAACCGAAATAGAACGTAATTACGCGTATAAAAAATTGGAATTTTCTTTCTGGAAAAAATAGCGTGGTTAAATCTCTCTTCCTAAAATCTTTTTATCTTCGGCTATTTCACGCGGACTATATCGAACGTGTTATATCGCGAGCAATAGAACAGGTTTATTTTCCCGAAATCCCCGATAACGCCCGCGTTTACGTTCGTTTCCTCCTGATGATGTTATCGACGAACATGGGGATCGCGTCTGCACAGAACCGGAATTAAGCTTTCCCGGACGATTCCTGTGATCGCTATGTCTGCCGGGAGTGGCATCTAGAGAGATTCGTAAGGCAGGCAACGTTGGACCGATGCCATCTAGATGCCAAAGCACTTCGCGTAGACGAGGCGGACGACCGTGGGGGAAAATACGACTAGTCCGGAGAGGAGATCGTCAAGGAAACAAGAGCAAAAGCGTCGTGACACTTCAGAAACGAAAGTTCACCGGTTCTCTTTTCGCTCGCCGTTTTTGAACTGTCACGGCCGATTCCGTCTTGTCCACTTTGACGCGAGGGCTCGCCTGCATTCGCGACGTCGTTATCTCTTTTGCAAGAAACAACGTAACTGCGGAAATTCCATTTATCTACGAGTCGTCCGGCGTATTTTTTTTTGTCGCGATATTTTAAACGACATTTGTTTTTAACAAACAAAGTTTGCAGTGTATATTTGAAATGAGTTAAAAATATTAGCAAATATAACATACACAATCTATAATCTCTCTTGTAATTGAAATAAAATCGATAATTCGTATAAGAGCGAGGAGTAAAAAGAAATAGAATAAACAGACATTCTATCTTGGCGCTTCTAATAATAATTATCAGGATTTTTTATAAAGTTTAAAGTTCACATTATTAATATTATATTTAACATTTCAATGTTGAAGCTGTTATTTACATCGCAAATATCATACATGCGTATCCTCGATTATCTCACGAGTTTATTTCGAGTTTCGAGGCCTGTTGGCAAATTTCATTTTGCGACAACACAAGGTTCAGTCGATTGTGCAACATTCCGCTTCTTTGCATGTTTGCACGCGAGGAACAGTTGCAGCGAAGTGACGGCGATCTATCAAAATTTTAAAATTATTTCGGTGCGCGATAGAATCTCCGCGCGGAGATTTGTGCATGCGAGCGTCGAGTATAATTTCAGCAGAAAATCCCGCGCGAAGTTTGCGATTCTTGTAGAATCGAGCGCGCGTTCGTTTCCTTCGTCGACGATCGATTAAGATAGTCTCGCTGCGAGATTACTCGAATATTATTTCAAGGAACTCGACACGCGTGCAAAAAGATTTTTCTTATGTTATTAATTGAATGGAGCGCGTCCAGGAAAGCGCACAAACGACGGATTTATTCAGCAAGTTGTCATTCACTTAAAAGAAGATTTATCGCACGAGACGGGATCTTCTTGGACGTGTCATTTTGCGTTAAAATTCTTATCTAGTTAATTGAGTACATCGTTCTTCGTAAGTTTGAGGATTAGATTTTTTACTTAACTTCTTTTCGTTCAGTTTGATTGTGAAACTCGAAGACGTGTTTCTAGCGTAAGGTCTCTCCGCGGAGATTTACATACAATACAGCAACAATAAAGCCAGAACATGAATATCAATTAAGAATATTTTTTTAATTAAATCGCTTGACCTTTTATTCCGCGTGTGCCGTATTTGTTTATTTTTGTATTTAGGTTATGTTTTTTTTATCTCGCGTAGAATTAAAAAAATGTTTTCTAAATATTTTTGATCATCTCACGGAATTATTTAATTTTCTTGTATATTTATTTCTTCGTTTTATTCTTGCTGCGAATTATGAATTTACTTTTTTTTTTAAAGTTTACGAGATCTGAATTGACGGACGCGCGTACAGAGATACACGTACGTATGTTTATTTCGTTTTCTTGAAAATCTATACGACGTATAGGATTCCGATTCACGCGAGGCCGATAAAAGAAAGCAGCGCGGACCGCTTTTCTATACCTGCTGTTTTATCGGTTCTCTTTTCTTGCCAGTGCCACGAGTGGCTCCGTACACTCTGTACTTCATTCCTTCACGGTTTACTTTCTTCCCGCGGGCATATGGCTATTTTTGAGAAAGTCATCCCAGCAGAGAGATGAACTACGAACGCGGAAGCCTGACGCACACATAGCGACGGAGAAACTGGGACTCTTCAATTTGCCGGTTAAACAAAAAAAAAAAACTTCTCTTTTCTCTTTTCAGCTTTTACGTCTTCCTTTGCCCGTGCGAAGCGGACTGACACGATCGTCTGAACAAACTGTCATTACGTTCCAAACAAATTGGAAGGAACTAGTAGTGTAGTTTTTTTTTATTTTTTTTTTATTTTTTTCTTTTTTATTAGTGACTTACAAACACATCACGCACACACTGAACAATCTTTCTTGTTTCGTAAGGAACAAACTCGGCATGTATGTTATCTTTAGCGTGCGATCTCGTGTTGCAGGGAATCTCCTGACAGATAACGTTATACGGCATTGCGATAAAACCCGGGAAATCGAGACAGGACAGAATCCCTTTGTTGAATGCAAGTGAGTAGCATCTTGAATCACGCATCTTCTATCACGTTTTGTTGTGCGTAAAACGGCGCGTTGTAAATTTTACACGAGAGATGATGTCGAAAGGCAATTTGCATGCGTTAGAAGTGTTTCTAACGTGTCCAATAAATAAATCACATATAGATAAGCGAAATTCCGCACGTAGAAAATATCTTTCGTTTCGACAGCGGGAGATCCATAGCTCTCGTTATTTCCTCAAAGAGGCACCATCGCGCTCAGAAGAGTGTTGACGGAAGCTGAAGCCCGGGAAAGCACCGCGCGTTTGTATGTAAGAGAGGAATTCCATTTGCGGAACGCGAAAGTGCACGTGACCGTCGTCGTCGTCGTCGTCGTCGTCGTCGTCGTCGCCGTCGTCGTCGCCGTCGCCTTTTATCTTTGCGCGGCTATATGAAATCGCGCCGAGCTCTTGCATCTCGCGAATGAGTCATGTGCGCGTGCACTTTTGCGTGCGCTTCCTTGTTTTTATGCAAAGCATATACATGTCCAAAAAATGTGAGATAAAAATGAGGAAGCACACAGTAGAATATTTCGTCTAGAGAAAACGAGATTTTTTATTTTAGAAACAATCTTTTTTTACAACTTTTTATGAAAACTAACATTTTATCGTTTGCCTCGAGCATCTTTTGTCTTTGATACAAACACAGTTTTGTGAACTTAATCAATCAATTGCCAACCATATATTTTCGATGTGTCTATTAACGGACACTTTTCTCGAGTGTGTTATTTATCACGATGATGACTAACTGATCTTGACGTAATTGCACTGTTGCAGCAGCTTGAGATCCCAGCCGCGATACTGTCACGATTTGGAATCATCCGAGAGCAACCGATCGGGCGAGCTCACCAGCCGGCTTTTGGCCTGGCGAAGTCGCGACCGGTACCATCCGATAGCCCTGCAGGTAAGCAGCAGCGTCTTGCACCTGATCGACTCGAATCTCTGCGCGGACGGCTTGTTCGGCAGGTGCCTGGTTTTATGTACACTCTATCTACTTCACCTGTCTAAAAATTCTGGTCGCGTGTGCGCGACTAATTTATTCTTTTTTACCTTCGCTTTTCTTCCGCTCGTGGCGTCGCATACTAATGAGCCGTTTTAATTCTGGTATCGAATATTGATTGATTATGTACTAGGAGCAATGACGGATATTGTTGCAACTATTATAGGTTTATTATAGGTTGTTTCTCGATTTCACAATAGAAACCGATATTTATCACACCTGAAGAAAAATTTATTCTCCATTCATGATGATTCATCATAGTTTTTTAATTTTCTTATACTTTCTCCATAAATAATTCGTTTTCGCAATTACACAGTAAAATGCGTTTCACGCTAAGCGCGGTGTAGTCCATGCGTCGTAAAGCGCATTAATGACCGTAATACGCTGAAGTGGCGAACAAGATAATACGTAGCATCCGTACTAATTCGTCTCGGTTCAACTTGCAATGCGTTTGCTTCTAATCTCTGCCTTATAGCTCGCGTAGTTACACAGCGCTTCACAGTTTATTTATATCACCGATTAACGATTTCGGTTACTCATAAAAAAGTGCGCTGTGTTTTTTTTCTTTTTCTTTTAAACTTTGTTACAAATATTTCGCATTCGAGTGCCGATTTTTTAAACGACTATTTCCCGCTACGAGAGATAAGAGTACAATGTTAGGCTGCGGCAGATTCACCTCTTCATTTAACACAGCGGCGCTGCATTTTACGCATCATGCCCAACATCCGGCCGCACAAATCCATCGCGTATTCAGCCTCGCACGTTCAAGGTCGTAGGATTATATACAACGCGATCGCGCACCGCACACGTGGCTCTCCGCGCGGCGCACGCATTTTTTCTACCCTCCTTCCCTCTCCATAGGGATCACCCTTCGCCAGCGAGAGAGAGAAACCGGAGCATGATGAAACTGCCAGAGGGGAGGTGGAATTTAATTCGCAAGCATGCGCCGCGTCCGTGAGGGGAAAAATCATCGGTGGAGTTGCCGCTACCCCGCCGCCGCCATCGTCGCTGCCCGATGTTATTGATCAGGGACCCCCTTTCGTTTTCCCACCGAAATGGTTAAAATATATCGCACCGTGGGACACACGGCGGATTGGCGCCCCCCCGTTCTCTTTTACGCGCGCGCGCGCGCGCGCAAAACTTCGCAACGCGTAAACTAAATTTATTGCGTTTGAGTGTCTCGCGGAGAGATGCTTTACGATCGCGCGCGCAAAAAAAAAAGCAAATTGCCGGGAGAATTATTAATCGTGAAATGTTAGAAGCAATTTACGTGACGCGGCTAAATAACGCGCGGTGTAAATAACATCGTGCGAGCGATAGCGATCGAATCACCCGGCGGGAACATCCGAACGAATAATATCTGTGAAATCTCTCTGCGAGGATATAATAAAATGATACAAAATAAGTATCTTGTCCTTGCGTGTTTTAATACAAAAAGCGCAAAACTTTATTCGAGATACTTGTATCTCTTTGCGTGATTTCGATATTAAATTTCCAACTTTACTGCATTAACACGCCAATGCGGATTGATACAATCCACGTGTTTTTTAACTTGCGGCTATGAAATCCTGTACATATAATGCGGCTTTAAAATACGTATACCTGCTGCTACTTATCCTTCGCGCTCCCGTGCACGCGATATTATGCAGCAGTTTTTGCAATCGAGCGACGACAGAAGCTTATTATTGACGATTCCATTGGCTCGTTTTGTAGAATACGCGACGTATCGATCTCTCGCATAAATTTCATCGTCCTCCGATTTTTTCTTTCGTGCGACACGTCGTTCTCGCTTGATTCCTCTTGCGCTTACGTCAATTAGAAAGCACATGAGATTAGTCTATCTAATAAGTTCCATCAACAAATTGCGTGATTGCTGAAGAGAGGAAGCGCGGCGCTTTTCTGATTAGATGGAGACGAGCCTTTCTTAGGCAAAAGATAGAACTTAGGCAAGAAGTAGTGAAAGGAAGAACTTCGCTGATTAGATACACTGAAGGAAAGCGCGTTGATAATCATCTCCCACGAAGAAGAGAAGAGAGGAGCTCGTCGTCGTAGAGAGAGGCGCGGTCGATCGGTTAAATTATTATCGTTGTTCCCGACGATTTATTTAAAGTGTTAGAAGCTGGAGATATTTGCGATTACGTGGCCATTGATTGGAACAATCGATATCTCGGCGCCAGAACGATCAATGTTTTTTGTCCTGGTTATAGCCAAACGATTTGGTTTTTTTTTTCTTTTAACTAAGCTTTAGTTTATTTTTGCTAATATCAATATTTAACATTGTGTTCTATCCGAGTGAGAATACTCGAGAAATTTGAGTAGGGAAATCTTACTTGTGTGTGTGTATATATATATGTATGTATATATACAGGGTGTCCCAGAATTGCCGTACAATCTCTCGTAGGCAGGTAGAAGGAGTAAAACTGAGTCGAAAAGTCCTGAGCCATTTTTTTCTATTATTTATAATAAAGGAGTAATTATTGAGTAAATCAGGCCAATCAGCGCAGACCTTTAGCCAGGCGCACGTCAGTGAGCCGCGCGCCTAGTGTGTGTGAGCGCTCACTGACGTGCGTCTGGCTAAAGGTCTGCGCTGATTGGCCTGATTTACTCAATAATTACTCCTTTATTATAAATAATAGAAAAAAATGGTTCAGGACTTTTCGACTCAGTTTTACTCCTTCTACCTGCCTACGAGAGATTGTACGGCAATTCTGGGACACCCTGTATATATATAGTAATGCTGTTCCAAGCCATCGCAAATAATTTCTCATTAAATTGCATGAAGTCCGAGTCTCGGAGGGCAATATTCCTCAGACAGAAGACGCGTAATAAGAAACACACAAGTCAAGATTTGTATCCGCAGTCATATCGTATAAGCTACTCTTCGGTATATTTCCACCGAGACTCTGCTGACAAACAATTTATCATTGAATCCGTTCTCAAAACTTTTTTTAAGAAAAAAAAATGAAGAGGGAATCGAAAAGAGAATAAACTTCTCGGGAGGTAAAGATCGCGCGGTTCATCTCCTAATTGAATGAAAAAAAAAAAAAAAAGGAAAGCTCGCATCGGAGAGAAAGAGAGCGCAGTGACGAAGAGCGACTAAGCCGATCTCGAAGAGACGGAAGCAAGAGCGAGAGAGAACGAGAGAAAGAGAGAGAGAGAGAACCGAAGAGAAAGGAGGAGGATAGATCAAGTGAGTCAGAGATGGCGTGCAGCAGCTCGGCTCAGGCCGAGCCCAGCTGTTTCTCGATCCCCTAACCTACGCCAGTTTATTTCAAACACTAACACTACGCGGTCTTTCCGTTCTCGTGCAGCAGCAACTGCTGCTTGTAAGCCTCTCCGCTCTTGACGCTGCGTTCTCTGCGTTAATTGTGCGGCTTCTCTGACTCTCTTGATGCGTTTCCGGTTGATCCTGAATAAACGTCGCCGGAAATCAAGTCTCTTCACATCCTGGACAAACTGGTTGCGCGGTGAATTATTTTGACATCTGCGAGGCGCATTCAGTTCAGATCGCGCGTGATTTGGATGAGTGTCGTGCCACACATCAAAGTCGGTTTATCTGACTACGTTTTTTCTCTCGATCGCTGATGCGGTGAGTCGCTCGCCGGGTTTCTTTGTACGTCCTAATTTCCGTCAAGCAAGATTTTCCTCCCACCGACGATTTCCCTTTAATTACGCTCAACCGCTCTGCTGCGCGGATGTACTTTTATATACGCGCGTGTTTCACTTTTGTACGTTCCATCTGTATACATATACTTTGTTCGCGCATATGCGACTCGGTTTTTTTTTTTTTTTTTTTTTTTAAAGCGGAAAAATCGAGAGAATCGCGCCACCGTGCATATCGCGATAAGAGATAGAAAGAGGATCGATTGATACGACGGAAGTACCACAAAAGGTATCTTGTTACACCGCGGAAAAAAAAAAAAAAGAATGAACATGTGCGTTGGCGCGCCGATTGATCTGAACGATTATCTGGCGATCGAACGATTATATTATCTGTGTGTCGAGAAAACACGGCGATAACCCAACAGCTTTTCGAAGGAGACCGTACGTGGAAAAGCGTGACGCGCTTATGTTCGTTCGTGCGCGACACGCACGTGCGTTCGCAGTGTGTTTGCGAAACGATCGACGCCGTGTGGGTCGCACGCGGGCCGGCAGCTGCTGCATATAACTATAAATGGAACGCGCGACGGCGCATTGAGGCATTGACACGTATAACACTCGAGTTGGTAAATCGAAGCTGGGCGGAAACGATCAAAATGTTTCACGCACTTCGTCCGGATTTCCGGCTTCTCCTCAAATATAAGCGACGAAATTTGTCGGAAATGCGAAGTTGTTTGTGATAAGCTGCTTCTATAAAAAAAAAAAAAAATCTCGGAAAAACGCGTGCGGCGTCTACGTAGGGGAGGAGAAAATCAGATTAGATCTCTTTGTATCTCTCTCTTTTGAAGAACCAACTTCTGACTGTTGGTCGAATGCGCGCTGATAATGTCAAAAGTGAATGCTTAGATTACATGTATGAGCAACGCGTACGCCAGTTATCGAAACGTAGAAATATCGAAATTTGAAGAGCGATTAAAAAACTATCACATGCGATATAGATGTCATTTAATATATTTGTTGTTACAAATGTTGAGACATCGTTAGAATAAGAAATTTTTATATTTTTTAAAAATTACGAAGCATTTGTTTTCCGAGAGAACGACAACATTCGCGTTCTTCACGAGTGATCTTGAAGTTATTATAATTATATATGTTCAAAATATTAAAGGGCGCTCACAGAGCGATGCACACCTGCGGCGAGAGGAGCAGAAACGCACGTAGCGCACGTGAGTAGGCGCCTCGGCTAATTGCACTTGCAAAAACTCGCATGATACGGAGAGGACGAAGAAAGAAGGAAGGGAGAGAAGCCGGCGCCACGTCGAGGATACTTCGTCGTGGTGCTGCGACGACGATAACAGCCGGCGGTGGCTGAAATGTCAGAGGGACATTTTGAAAATCTTTGGTTCGGCGCATGCGTCCCGTTGCACTCGACGTCCGATGGAGCGCGATGGTGCCGTCGTCGTTTCTAAGCCGCTGCAGCTAGAAGAAACGATTCGAGTGCGCGAGAAGATACACGCGCGGCTCCGACAACACCGATCATATTGTCCAGAAATTCGCGAATCAGTGCCAGTCAGAAATGATGACGTGAACAATCAGTGACAATGATCGTCGGTGCGTCGTCGTCATCAGTGTCCCGTTAATTGTTTCTTCTCGTGAGAACGAGCAATCACATCTACTCTCGTTTCGATACGATCGATAAAGCGAGCGAGATCTTTCCGGAGAGCGCCACCCGTTTAGAGAGCACATCAGATAAAAAAAAAAAAAGATCGTCATTATAGGTGCGATAATCTTCAATGCGCTTTTCGTGCTACGAATGCCGAGATTGGAGGCGGCGGGCTATCTTTGAACGAGTGAATGTTCCATGAGACTGAAACGCGGCAAGGAATGCCGAGTGAGAATCGTGAACAGCTGGCGGGAAGCGGAGGAGGTGGTGGAGGAGAAGGAGGAAACGTTCCAGGAGGACGCAGAGAATCCACGGGAAGCGGTGACGGCGAGCCGAATCCTCGTAATCGAGGATTAACCGCGACGATGATTCCGCTTCCGCGCACCGGCCAGTTCGCGTCCGCCTCGCAGAACCAGAAGGTCGCGAAGACGGAAAAGAATCGGCTGAAGCTGATTATGGAGAATCGCGGCACCGCCGACTTCGTCGAGAAGGAGCGAAGGATCGGCATGCGGGAGGACGAGACGTCGCAGAGTAACTGGCGCTCCGTTCCACGATTTTTCGAAGAATCCCGCAATTCGCATCGCGATGAAAAGGTGATTAAGCTAAAATCGACGTGTCTCTTATAAGCGGGACGTGTAAACTAGGTCGTCGCCATTGAAGTGTCAGCTCTCAACAAACAATAGCTGTATCGACGTAACATCTTCACATTACATTGAAATCATCACTTGACACATGACATTGTTTGTACGGCAAATATCACTATTTTTTTTTTTTTTTTTTTTTTAGTTAAAATAGAAGCATTCTTTGTTGCGGTCTGAGTGTGTGTTGTTTGTTTAAAATAGGCCGCCCGACGGTTTTCTCCCGAGCAATGTGAAATTCATACGTCCGCGCGCATACACTTGCCGCTCCGGACATCTGAGCAATTAGGATAATTTGAACGGACACAGATCTTCTTACGAACAAGGCGTATCGCGACATCTCTCCCGAAGCGCCGACCGGAAATTTACTTTCGTCGTTCTCGCATCACCGATCAGCACGCTCTGTTTTCTGTGTGTCTGCCTCTCGATATTCAACTCTCTCAAATTGCTCCTTCCCCCCGAAACATATATACTCGCTCGTCGAGATCTTCCTCTTTGATCTTCGCGACACTAAAGAGAGATTACATTATCCAATTACAAATAATTAACACGACGTGTTGTGTGCGCACAATCGTCTTCTTCGAGAATTTGCGACATTTGATTTGCGTTTCCCTTTTTTGTCATCCGATTTTTTCACAATTAAGACCACAGAGAAAAAAAAATGCGATAGCCGTAATCGCGGCTGCGAAAAAAAACCACGTAATATGCTTGTCGCGGGTTTGATTTCTTGAACGGATGCGATTATTCAACGCGGTCTTAAATTGCGCGCAAGAATGACAAGAAAGATACACTCGGGAGCGCGAAGCCCGCGCGCTCGTCGAGGCGCGGAGTTTATGCGCATACATAAACTGTTTCGTGACTAAAATACACTTCCTCGCTTGGCCGTGTCAAAAATAAAATTCGTGGCCCACAGAAACCCTTCTCTCGTGCCGTAACATCCGACTAGTTGCGATGCGACAATTGAATTGTCGGTAGAAAAGAAATCCGAATGACTGACGAAAAAGTGACGATATTCACCTCTTCTGATGTTTCTTTTCTCGAAAAAATTCGTCGACTCCTTCGTTCAACAAAATTCGCGATCTTTCGACGATATGATCGCTTATCATTTCCGACTGATAATGAACGCGATACCATTTCTGGTTACTGCGATGATGATTAATTAAATCGTCGCGCGCGCGAGCAATGTAACGAGCAACAACGATAATAATTTCGAGATCGGTGAAATAATAGAGGGGGAGCGCGCGGCGTCATCGCGCAAAACCGGCTATCTGTTCGCCATGATCTCGCAATTGAGTGAGTCATTTCGCCAATTACGAGGTCATTAAATTGTCAGATCTCTGCCTCTCTCTTACAAACGGCTCTCTTATCTCGAACGCATCCACGTTGCCCCGTAACGGTGCGCGGTTCAATGAGCGAGACGAATTCCGTTTTACCTGACGCGCGCTTTTACATCAAAAATCGCGTTCGATAATCACGCGGCCGTCGAAGAAGTTTCTGTTTGTGGACGATGGACGCAAATCGTGTGAACTTTTGTTTGCATAAACAAGTGCGTGTCTTGCAAGTTTACGGTTGTCGATTAACGAGCTCGCGAGAGAAAGGAAATAGCGACGGATATCACGGTGAAAGCTAAAATAAGTCCTTCACCTTGTCCCATTAGTTTTCCGTTCTGACGGATTTAAGTAAATCGTTTGACATCGTCATGCCCGATAATCACGGAGCAAAGATCAATTTTTTTTTTTTTTTTTTTTTTTTAATAATAACGAGAGGAACACAGAGCGACATCACGCTGAAATCACGCGAGTTTTCAATGTTCTTGAATATGAGTTGAGAGAAGAGCTGTGTGTAAACTTATCGGCTTTGCACGCTCTTAACCGCGCTATTGGTATTCCTGTTAGTTTAATCTGGTTAAGTTATCACGAATGCATATGCCATCTCTCGGAAAATTGCCTCGTGGAATATGCGAGTGGAGAAAACAGTGAAAGTGTTCGTACGAATGTGAACAGCGATGATGCGTGCGCACGAAGATCTTGTTTATTTATTTATCAAATAGGATTTAATTATGTAACAAGAAATTTACGAAGTTAGATTTAGATATTTTGTTTTCGTTTCGATTTTTTCTGCGAAGATTTACCCGCTGAGTTCCCGTAACGACTTGGAAAATTTCGTCTGTGAGATAAAAACATATTATCAGCATATCTAATCTTGTGCGTATTCATGTTGATCTGAGTTCTATTTGACACTTAAATTGCGTGGAAGATAAAACTATTTTTTTCGTTAGATTTTTGATAATTAGATACTTTGATAACATATTCGCAAAGATTTGTATATTCTTCAAAATTTGTAAATTTTATTATTTTTTTGTTTCTCAGATAAAATCACAATCTCGCTTGTTATCTAATAATGACATATTAACGTACACATTAAGGAGAGTGATTGCCATTACTACGTTTCTCTCGTGAGTGTTTCACATTCTTTATAACTAAGTATAGACTCTTCGTTGTAATTTCAAGGTTTCCTGCAAGTTCGCAGCGAAGTTCTTCGGCACGGAATATACGATTGTGATAAGATGCGATATTGCCCCTACGTAATTACGCGAGTAATCATATCGCAAGCAGCGCGCGCTGTTTAATTAACGGTGCGGCGAGCGCGTATGTAACTGCGCGTAATGTATGTTAAATGTAGTGTCCGACCGAAACTAGTTTTTACAACCGAAACCGAAACCGAAACCGAATTTCGGTTTCTGTCTCAGTTTCGGCCGAAACCGAAACCAAAACCGAAACTTCCTTTTGTGGTAATTCCTTATAACAGTTTTTTAGTTTGAGCCTGTTTCTGTAAAGTTTAGCTAGCTGCAGGTGCGTATGTGTTTAAAAAAGCCCTTATTCGATAAACAAATAACTTTATTGCTCTTAAACAATCAACAAAAAAAAGTACCACAAACGTTCTTCTGTATGTGAGGTGAGGTGTGNATGTCAAGTACCTATTATTAATTCAAAGGCATATAATTACGCATTATCATAATAATAATTATGAAGTTGCCAACAAAAAATAGTTAAAAAAAAACTTTGTACTTAAGATTAAGAAAACAAAAACAAACTTTTTCTTTTATCTAAAAAACGAAATAACTTCTATCTAACCTTTAGTTATTATTTAGCGCGACAAGTCGACAACTCACGAACACGAAAGAAGTTTCGGTTTTAGTAATAGTTTCGGCCGGTTCGCTGCCAAAACCGAAACTAAAACGAAACTCCAATTTTGTGCCGAAACTGGCCGAAACCGAAACCAAAACCGAACCTTCGGTCGGACACTAGTTAAATGCATCACTTCGATTATCGTTGATTTGTTTTTATTTATAGAGAGTTAGTTTTATTTTTTTCCGCAAAATGCAAGTTGCGACAGAAAGAATTCTCATTAAGCGGCGAGTGATTTTTATTTTTTAAAATTAGAAAGTGTCGCATTTAAAGGACATTATACGCGACGTGTTTAGAAATACATTTAGTACTTCCACACACATTCGAACTCTCTTTTCATAATGATTTTAAGCATCATTGCGTTCGCTCGCTTTCACCGGCAGGTGAGGAGAAGAGATTATGGGTACGACCGATATGCGAGCCAATTGAAAAATCCAATCGCGCGTCATTAAATCAAACGATTCACTCACGAATAAAAAAAAAAAAAAAACCTGTCAAGATCGAATTGTGTTAATTAATGCACTTGATTTCGTCGAATAACGGCTTAGATATGATAACAACCGCTAATTTTTCTCCATTTCTGCTCGTTATTTTCTATCTTTAGTGAACGGCGATACTGTAAATTTTTATTGCGAAACGTGCGTATTGAGACGTTTTATATGTTCGTTTTTCATAACGAACCAGCCGACTGTGACGTGTGCCGGCTACATTGGCACTTTCTGTATAGAAAAGTGTCAACAAACGCGCAGAATCTTCCTTTCAATTTATGAATCGCACGAGTTTATTATTCTCTCGGCAGTCGTATCTTTAATATATGTATTTCTCCTTTTTCTCATAAAACACAGCGAACTATGTACATACTCCGTTAATTGCTTCACATCTTTTCGTGATTCTATTTTCTTTCTTCCGCCTCTTCTTGCTTTAATTAATTTTAATCTATTAATTCTATCCTTCTTTTTTTTAATTTTTAGAGTTTGCCAAACTTTGTTTTAACCACCGGCTCATTGTTTTCAGCACGAGATTTTTATTTTCGTGACTGACACGCGCTCTTCTTTTTTTCTCGCTTCCAGGAGAACACGGACACCCGGCGGGGAGACAGATCGCATCCGACGGAGGGTCGCGTGCCGTGCGGCGGCGTCGTCGGGGTGGAAGGCGTCGGTGGCGCGTGGGGCGCCCAGAGGAGGCAATTGCGCGCGGTGGTGGAGACGGCGTCGCCGCCGCCCCTAACATCGCGCAGGCTGGAGTCGGCCGCTGACGCCGCAACAGCAGCAACATCAGCGTCGTTCAACCCCGTCGTCGCAACTACGCAAAGATGCGCCGGTGCGAAGGGCGCCGTCGCCGATGTCGCCGCGTCGAGGCTGCCGCGAATCTACGCGGGTCCTCCTCTCGTTGTTGAGACCAGAAAAGAGGATGCCATGGAGCCGGAGGCCAAGGAAGAGGACGAGCGACGCTCGTCGACGCCGAGTCCCGAGGTAACGTTTCCGTACGATTGTTACTTGTTTTCTCCCGCATTTGTGTATGTGTGCGGCAAAATGTTTTATGTACATACATGTGACAATATGTATGTCATATATGTATACTCGAAGAATTGATTCGCGTTGGTTAGAGTACGTGTTCTTCTCTAAATAAAAGTCGTTTTCCCGATTTGTTCGCTGCGAATCAATTCGAGTCGTCTACTTGGACTTATGTTTTGCGTGAGTCGTATTGCTTGTTGTGTCGAATATTGTTGTTCACGTCAGCTATGACAAAGTAGTTAAGAAAAACGTGTTAATCTTGTTTAAAATAACAGCAATAGAAGAATAAATGTTTCTATTCGAGAGAGAAATTATAATGAAATCTAAATTAAATATTTTAAACACAGTTAAGTAAATTAGCACGAAACACACATCTTTCAGTCCAACGTTTTCAATCTATACGATTTTAAGTCGTTAAACTTTTTCACTTATTTTTCTTCTTACGCGAGCAACTGTCACGCTTTAAAAATAACTTCGCCCGATAAAGCCCGGAAGAATCCCATAAAATTGTGACTTTCCAAATCACTCGTCTTTCTACACGTTTATTTTTACGAAAGGAACACAACGGTTGAGAACCACTGGTGTACGAATTGCCTTGTGCTCGTGGTGCACGAGTATATACACACACCTTTACTAACGTACCCCGTATTGATTTTACGGAGCCCTCGTCCTGTCTCTCACACTCTCTCTTTCCGCTATTCTCTTCTCTCGTTCGTCCTCCCTCTTCACGCATATATATTATATACACACTCACACACACACACACACGCGCGCGTTTCTCCTCTCTTTCTCCTTGCACTTCCCGCATTTCGTCCTTTCTCTTTCGCTGGTTTTGCCCTTTAAGTTGTCACCCTTCGCGATGCGACTCCACGCAGAATCGAGAATCTCTTTTCGTCGTCCGCACGTGTTGAAAATTTCAAGCTTCGAACGCGATGCGGCACGTACCTACTACCTCGTGTATATGTATACATCACTCGACACAGAAAGAATTGATGATGGTCGCAGATGTAAAATCTGCTCCGACCTTGCGTTCAAAGAACCTTCGAGTGTTAAACTAACACAATGATAAGAAAGTCGTCTTGTATTTCAAATAAAAATAACACAATTCATAAAAAATTCATTAAAAAATATTAATACAATATTGAACCTATTAAATTTTATTCAATTCGAGAATGCAAATTGACACGAAGAAATCTTTCATGTTTTACAGTTTTACGTGAGGAGGAGTAAGCGTTACAACGAGGATGGCAGCAGCGAGGAAGAAGCTAAGCACGATAGCACCTCGCTGTCTAACCACAGGTTGCCGTCTTCGTACCGTGGAACATGGCCCATCAGAAGAGACGTATGGGCTAATCAACAGATTGGCTTTCCGGCCCAGCAGAGCACATCACTCGCTGCGCACAATGTAAGTTGAACGATTATAACGGTTGTATTATATTGCGTGCCACCTCTCGTGCACATATAGAGTGTCGTAAAACCATCGCATATTTTTTTTTCTTTTTTCACGACGTTTTCTGATGTGGTTAAAAGAACATCCGGTGGTTTTGGCCTCTGTGGTTTGCAGATAGTTGATGCGTACATATATGTATATAAGTAAACATGATCAAACAATTGGGAAAAAGTCTGAAAGAGTCCGAAAGACGTTTGAAAGATCGAACGGCTTTTAGACACTTGTATGTTGTCCCGAAACATGTAAACGCGGCACGAAAATGTATACACAGGACGTGGCTAGCGTGATGAGCTTCTCGTCATCGAACTCCGCGGTTCTTGTTGAGGGCAGTTCCACGGAGTTACCAGGTCACAGGTGGTTGGGCGCCAAGGTGGACGTAGTGTATAATCTGTTGGGCATGCTGGAGAAGAACGGCCAAGAGGATATGAGCACCACTTTGCTGTCCATGAGCACTTCCATCGACAGCTGTCTTGTGATGAGGCAGTCTGGATGTTTGCCACTGCTGGTGCAGCTGATTCACGCACCCAGACAGGATCCCGACACCCGGGACAGGGCTATGCAAGCGTTGCGCAATGTGGTGCATGCCAAGAGTGACGAGAGAGCCGGTCGTCGGGAAGCGCGAGTGCTTCGGTTTTTGGAACAATTGAGGGACTATTGCCAGACTCTAAGAATATCAATGGAGAGAAGTCAGTCTGCGAACGATCTTGAAAGGGCACATCCTGCTGCGACGATAGCCGCGCTTATGAAACTTTCCTTCGACGAGGCTCATCGTCACGCCATGTGCCAACTAGGCGGCCTCCACGCGGTCGCTGAGCTCATCGAAATGGATCACTTAGCCCACGGCAGCGAGAGTGACGATCAGAACTGTATTACGTTGCGAAGATACGCGGGAATGGCATTGACCAATTTGACTTTTGGCGACGGCAATAACAAGGCGCTGCTCTGCTCTTTCAAGGAATTCATGAAAGCCTTAGTTTCGCAGTTGAGGAGTCCCAGTGACGACCTCAGACAGGTGACGGCAAGCGTTCTGAGAAATTTGTCTTGGCGTGCTGATAGCAACAGCAAACAGACTTTGAGAGAAGTGGGAGCGGTGACGGGTTTGATGAAAGCCGCTATGGAGGGTCGCAAAGAATCGACTTTAAAATCGATATTGTCCGCTCTATGGAATCTGTCGGCTCACTGCAGCACAAACAAAGTAGACATTTGCGCCGTGGACGGCGCGTTGGCATTTCTCGTGGACATGTTGAGCTACAAGGCGCCATCCAAGACGCTCGCGATAGTTGAAAACGCCGGTGGCATATTAAGAAACGTGTCCAGTCACGTGGCGGTGCGAGAAGACTACCGAGCTATCGTGAGAGAAAAAGGCTGCCTGCAAGTTCTCCTGCAGCAATTGAGATCGCCCAGCCTGACGGTGGTCAGCAACGCTTGCGGGGCGCTCTGGAATCTGTCTGCGCGGTGTCCTCAAGATCAACGTCTCCTCTGGGACTTGGGCGCTGTTCCGATGTTGCGCAGTCTTGTTCATTCCAAGCACAAGATGATCTCGATGGGCTCAAGTGCGGCTTTGAAAAATCTGCTCAGCGCCAGACCCGGTTGTAACAATCTCATTCATTTAGATTCTACCGCTCGTGGACTTGGGTTATCGACTCTGCCGAGTCTGGTCGCCCGCAGGCAACGTGCGTTGGAACAAGAGATCGATCAGAATCTGGCCGAGACGTGCGACAATATCGAGCCGAGCACGTCGCCGACCAACAAGGACGACAAGTTCACATTCAAGCTCGATCACAGTTTTCTCGGCATCAACACGCACAGTCTACGTACTTACCAGCTGCACAATCAACCTAGCACATCTGGCGTAAAGTGCAACGGAGTCGCCAGAAGTGAGAGCAGAGACTCCATGCGTTCTGTGACTAGCACGCATTCCGATACCATGTTCGAGCGGGTAAATCGACACGTACTGAACAGTATGTCGCCAACTGATTCGCAGATCAAACAACAATCTTCGTCGCTGCATTCCGCGGTTGGATTTGACAACGGCGACAGTCACGTGAAAACCATATCTTCCGAGAGGAAATATACTTTGCGCTACAAGAACGCTATACCTGAACGATTGAGAACTTCCGACGGAAATTTCGACGTGAATCAGATGAGATGCACGAATTCTACCATATCATGGGCCACAGTACCTAATCAGGAACCTTCTCAGACCTCCTTGCACTCTTCCATGGAGAACAATATGTCTCTGATCGATCAAAGCGTATCGTCCAAGACTGGTAGCGAGACGAGCGTTTCTGAGGAAGCTGAAGCGACTGTTTGTGCAAAACCTGATTATCGGCGAACAACCGCGAAAACGACAGCTATTGACAGCTCGAAGCCAGTTTCCTTCTTGTCCAATGTTTCTACCAACAAAGAGAACGCGAGTTTCAGCAAAACACTGAACAACATTCAGAAAGCGATATCGCCCACTATCGGTCGCGGTCCAAATAGCAATTTATTCGGCGATTACGCCGAAACGGATTTAGATCAACCGACCGACTACAGTCTGCGCTACGGCGAGCAAACTATAGACGACGAGAAACAACACTCCGGTTTCTTTTCGGGCAACGATCAAGGACTTCTGCACGAGGACACAATCAGGACTTACTACACTGAAGGAACGCCGCGCGGAACGTCCTTAAACTCGTCCAGAGCCACTTCCGCTTCCGATTTGCAGGACGACAGTCGTATAAGGAGTTTGTCGAAAAAATTGCCTGAGCGATACAAAGTGAGACACGCGGAGGACACCGGTGAATGCAAAGCTTTATCCTTGACGGACGTGCCAAAACTGAACGACTTTACCGAGTCGGAAACAGAGTTGAATTTACGAGGTGTGACGCATCATCTCACTGACAACAAAAGCGCAAATCGCTCGTTACCATATCTCGAGGGAGATTTGAGTCAGAAAGTGAAAAATGTTCCACAAGACGCGGCAGTTCAAAACCATTCAAGGTATTTGTATATTCTTTAAATAATAATTACCATATTCATTTATATGACGTATTTGTTTTTCCGAATATATTTGTATAACATTACCGCATGATATTTGCGTAGTGTAAGAACAACACCAATTTCAATGGTATTAGAAAGCTCTGAGTTTAACGACGACGGGGAGACCAGTTCTGGAATGATTAACATGGGTAAACTATGACGTTCAATGCGATTTGAATAAACATATAAACGTATTCTTATTTAATTTTGCAATTTTACTGTAAATATTTGTAGATTCCAAATCTAACAACTGCAAAGTAAACAAAGACTTACCTTCGAGTGACATTGAATTTACATCCGGCAATGCTGGTTTGAAAACATCCAGTAACGATTCAGGATGTAAGTATACGTAATATTGTGAAATCGTAGAGAATAATCTGTAACGCGTGTCTCGATAAACAGAAAATATCTTTTCGATTATATTCAGATCAAGTAAGTGACGGGGACGAGGACGACGAGGACCTGCTAGCTGCTTGTATTAACATTGGAATGCAAAATAATAGGTAAAAAAATTATTGAGATATTAATAATTTATTGCAGAAATGGTATAATTAATCGTTTTTCTACTTCTTTTATAAATTTCTCTTAAAAATTATTTAATTTCGTAGGCACAGACATTCCTTCATAGGAAATAACCTCGAAAAGATGCCTCGATCGGAAAGCAATTTGACTCGATACCAAACTAGTCTTGCTTTGGATCAAGTCGAACGTAATGAAAGTGTGGAGTCCGACCGCTTATCGTTCAATATAAAATACGCAGAGTTCTGTGAAATTACAACTGACAATGTTTTATTAGAAAAAAATGAAGAAGATAAAAAAACTAATAATGACAAAATATTCAAACAAAATATTCAAAGGGAAACAACTAAAGTAAGATTTATTTTATCTTTACTTTCCGATGTATTTTTTAAGTTTTTATGTATTATGTTAATGTGTACGTGTGTGTATTTTAATATGCGATGTTTTTCTCAGGTAACAACAAACTCAAACGACGAAAACGTGCGTGTTGTTAAAGAATCAAATGACATTTCAGTCACGACTAAAGTGAATAACGATAATTCTAATAATTTCTCGAAAGAATCGGAGCCAAAATTGCAAAATCTTAACGCGTCATTGAATAGAAATTCGTCCAACGATCTTATAAATGACGGGAGCAATGTGAATCAAAAGGAATCTGTTGCACGAACGGACGAGGCGATAACTGATGATCAGATTGCGGACAATTCATCTATGAAGCAGTCATTTACGAAAGATTCTGAGAGTAGCGAATCAATCGACTCGGTCGAGCAGTCTGAACACGCGCTACTGGAACTGTGTATCCAACCTGGCATAAAATCCGAAGGCAATGTTGCTCTTAATCAGAGTAATGAAGATTACGTTAAATCGCAGCTAGAGTTGTACAATAAACAAATAGACTTCATAAAGGGGAAAAGCAACCAGGAAATAACTGAGATTGATGGCAACGAGTGTAATAAACCAGAACTGTCTTACGATATTGTGCGAACTTCGGATGTTCTGCATCGCGAAAGCGCGGAAAAACACACGAAGGAAGAAACTTACAGACGGCAAAGAGATCCGGATGCTATGATCGCTTCGTTGGATCGACTGACGGCAACGTTGGTTCAGCAGACCGAAGCAATACGCGAACGAGATTCTGGTGCGATGAAGCAGAGTCTGACGTGTGACACGTGGAACGAGGACTCTCCCAACGATGTTTCCTTTCCTAGTATCAGCATGAGTGCTCCATTGGCTGCTTCATTCAACAGTGACGCGCAGGAAGATCGTAGCAATATGTCTGAAAACATCGAACAAGTTGAGAACAACGAGCAGACCAACATGACAGAATCGAAAATTATTCAACGCGAAGCTATCAAGCTCGCAGAAGCGGTAGACGCCGAGATGAACAATCAGAACGAGCTCGAGACGACGAGTCTGACGTCCATCGACCTGGAAGCAATCAAACCACCGTCCACGATGGGAAGTTTACTGTCGTTGACGGCGAGTTACGCCGGCACGGCCGACAATAACGAGATGTTTATCAACCGGGACAGATGTTACTCTACGTCATTGCCACCAGTGCCAGGAAAGACTTCCACCGATTCTCGTAATGTGCGGAAGAAATCCTTACCACTCGGCATGGTGGCTAAACGAGCCTTAGGCCAGGGTCAGACTCACACGGCTAGTCTCGAAAACCTGCTGAACGAATGCACCAGTTCCCATTTGGAAAACGTCAAACCGCCATCAATGATGGACGAATTGCCGGATGTGGGCGATATGGAAAACAGTATGCTAAGCGTAGCTAGTATCACGTCGGAAATTGCGGATTCGAAGGAACAGGACTCACATAGTTTGACCGGCAGCGACCCGGCTGTCTTCGAGATGTTGAAACCGGTCGCCAACGTGCTATCGATGACGTGCATGCGTTACGCCGAGAGCAGCGCGAATAACAGCCTGAGCGAATGTCTGGAGAACATCAATCCACCGTCCTTGTTCAACGAAGTGACCGAGATGGACGAGTCCACCATAGAGGCGAACAGTGATACCATGTGTAGCGACACTCTGTGCATAGAAACGGAGCTGCACTCAGACGAAGTAATACATTCGATCATGGCGGAGGTAATTGACGAGGCTGAGAACGACACCGATGAAGCTGTCACGCCAATTTCGTCCGAATACTGCAGTTCGGCAGACTCGACGCCAAAGAGACGTCATCCGAAAACGTTAACTCCGAAGCAGAAGCGGAACTTGACGAAGGAGCGATACAAGACGTACACTATTGCCGCAGAAATTGTCAAGAAGGAGGAGGAGGAACGTCGGAAGAAGGATGGTGGCGACGAGAGCGATAAAATTCCACGCGGGAAATGTTCTCCCTTCTCAAAACTAACGCCGAAGCAACGTAGACAAGAGAATAGAGCGAGGTTTCAAACGCAGGTGTTGGAAAATCCTTTCCCGGATCTAAACGCGGCTCAAACTAAGGAAGAAGCGCAGAAAGAAGTCGCTCAAAATTCCGTCGAGAAGCAGCAGGAATCCGCATCTCCCGTTAAATCCGCGATTCCCACGCTGACGAAGTTGCCCGTGTGCCGAGCGTTGAGGAGGAAACGCGATTCTCAGGAAAATAAGGAAAGATATCGCACGAGAACGCTGAACGATTCGGAAGCCGTGTTCAAGGAGGTCGAGCATAATCCCGCATCGAGCACCGGCGCTGCGGAAGAAGCGCAAGCGAACGCGCAGGGTTATGCGCGAGAAGAAATCCAGATCATGTTGGAACAAAACGCCACCTTGCTGTTTAACACGCTGAACGAATCGAGCAAAGCTAACAATTCCACGGGAGATGACATTTTGCGGAACGAGACCGCAGCGTCGAACGATTCGGAACTCGATCGCAATTTGAGAATGCGTTTTGTGAACGGGCTCTCGAAAAAACTGATGAACACCCAACAAGCCGACTACGCACAAACTCCAAATATTGACGATGAAGAGATGCGACCCGAACATGTGGAAGTCGCTCACGAAGACACGAACTCCGGAGATCTAATTGAATCAGACAGCGACGAGGAAGAGTCTAACTGCGCCGATGAGGAACAGGAACCGAGAGAGACGAAAAGGCCGCGGATAATCAAGCCGGGGATGCCGGGTCGTGATCCTAGCGTTGATTCCAACGCGACAGATAAATCCGAGCCTGGAAGTCCAAAAGCTATTCGGGGACGAAGGAAGGCACTCTATTCGAATCCGATCACGCGAAAGCCGACTCCTCAATCGTCGCCGTTGAAACAAGTAAACTCAGTCAGTGGAATACCAATAGGTCGCAGCAATACGTCGCCCATTGTTAGAGCTACTAGAGCCACTACTTTGAGACAGAATAATAACGGTCCGACGACAGCCACGAAAGACTCTTCGAAATCTAACACGAGTCCGAAGAGAACTCCGCCTAATATTGCGGATGCGGATAAGAAAACGCGAAATGTGGCGGTTATGTCCAAGAGAGCGTCCGTTCCCCAGAAAGGATCCTCCTTAACTTTCACCAAATCTACTAAACGTCACAGTACACCTGCGGCGTGCTCGTCAAACTATCAAACCGAGAGTAAACCACCGGAGCTTCCGATTAAGCCGCTGGAACGTCAAGGAACTTTCACGAAAGATGAGCCGGAAGTGGAAAACGCACCGACGGTACATTCAGCTTCCTCCTCTCCGATAAAAACGAAGATCGCGAAACCGATAAGAAGCGTTTCGGCGAAGGTATATCCGGTAACAACGACAACAGCGAAGTCTAAGATTTCTGTGAAAGCGCATCAAGCGAATCAGCCGAAGGCCAACAGCTCCGAAAAGATGCAACCACCAAAAGGATTAATGGCGCCGAAGAAAATGTCTCCTGGAAAAATTACCGTGCCGGCAAAAGTTCTCAACGCGCCTCAAACCGACAAGACATTTCGGAAAATCGGTCCTCTCAGACAACGATCCAACAGCAACTCCAGCATAGTTTCCAATTCGTCCGTTAACGTGCAGAATCGCAAGCTGGCGAAGGAGGCGACAAGCAAGATCGCGAGTCTCTGGAAGAAGGTCGAAGAAAGCAAGAACAAGCAGCGATTCGAGAAACCGGACACCAGGCAATGGATAAGGCCGGCCAACAGCGCCACTGAGGTGGACGCCGTCACACCCGGTGGCGCATTTAGTACATCACCGACGTACAAGCTATTCCGCAGTTCCACGTTTGAGGGAATCTCCCAGGAAGATAGTAGCAGCGCCGAGACATCGCCTTACAAGTCCAAGTCCAAACAACCCTCGGTTTTAGGTACGCAAACTGGATCCGCCGGTCTCAAGTACAGGAACTCGTGCGATCTGACGGGCATGAGCGCCAATGAGGCGCCCTGCAAGATTCCGGTGAAATCCTCCGGCGAGTCGTACAAGAGGCAGACGACGCAGCTTGGTGACATCCTGGTGACCATGAGGAAGCAACAAAGCGACGAGTTCGCGGATACCGATCCCGCCAAAAGAATATCCAGGTTGAACTCCTTCATTCGAGTAGATGAAACAACAGCGGAGAACGGCAGCGCCAACGGCGTTCGCGCCCCAGCCTCGGCAATCGTCCCACCCTTCAACTACAATCCGAAGCCAGACATTCCATCGCAGATGGCCGTAGCTAGATCGAACGAGGGTAAATTCGAAGTGGCGGATTATCACGCTGAAACGGGATCCGCCAGGGTGACAACGGTATAGAGGGAAACGAGCCCTAAACGGGAGCGCGTAAAGTTCTTGTAATAATCGCCTTCTCTTCGTTCCAGGCTAGTCATTGTACATTTGCTTGCTATATATGTTCGTCTACTATTACATTCGTCACATGTGATACGCATTACAAAGTATATAATTTTAATCGTTCTGTTTTACTTTTTTTTTTTTTTTTTTTTTTTTTTTTTTGTTTTTTTTTTTTACGTCTTTCTCTCGCGTTATAAAAATACGCGCGCGTTAAAGCGCCCACAAAGATCCTTCGATATTTTATCCGAAATAAGAAATAGTTGAACGCATGATAAATATCCATTACATTAAATATTGTACGCACTACAAAATGCCAATCTCTTTTAATAACGGCATTCAAAAACCATGTGAAATATTAATAGCGAGGAAAAAAAAATCTCAAGACCATTCCTGTCCATTTTGTGTCTGTTGTATATATACATGGATGATATATAGAAATAATTCTGAGATTGAAAGAGAACCAGTTGAAAAAAATCCATAGTGCATAGCGGTAATTCTGATCGATTATTTATTCAATTTTGTATATACATGGAAGACATGAGTGAAGAATGTAGAAAGTTTTAGTAGTACGTGTTTAAATCTATATATGTACGATGTGTAACGCATACTTGCGTCCAGTGATTATACCAGTCGCTGACGCGTCTTTGTACTTTGAAGGAGAAAAAAAAAACGTGGAGAGAACGCGGCGCGTGACATGTATTTTGTTTCTCTATCATACGTATTAAAACTGCATACCATCTCTCTCTCAGATAGAAGTCTAATTACTTTTTGAAGACTGAATAAGAGTAAGGGCGATGATGATAATGATGATGATCTGGAATAAGCTCGGGTATCTTCGATCGAAAGCTAATCGTAATGAAGTAGTACCGTTTGTATCGATTGTGAACGTAGAGCGGTCTAAATAGTTCGCTATAAAAACAAAAAAAACAAAAAAAACCAAATGGCATTACAATAACAGAACGAAAAAATTTTATAAATATTACCTTTAAGTTTCTAGTCCACAGGCAATTTTTAATTCTTCTATTTTCGTCACAGCGTGTGAGAAATTCGTTTTTTTTTTTTTTTTTGTTTTTGCTTGAGAATGTCTATATTAAAAGTGACTTTGTTGCATCTGATCGGAAGTAAATGTAATTATCATTAAAAGGGTGTACAGATCAGTGAGATGTTATTCATAGATCTTAAATCAAAATGCTACAATAAGCTGTTTAATGTTATTTTTGTATTTTATTGGGGAGACTTTGAGGAGATTCGCAGGATGTGGATTAAGAGATGTGTTTTAATTTTTCCTTGTCATGTCAAATTTCCTTCTTTGAGAATCATTATCGAACTCTCATCGGAAGAAGATTGCCTGGCATGGTGAATCAGAATTTATTATATACTTAGTTTAGTTTGAAAAAAGTGTTTCTTTCATAAGCGTCGTTTTATATACCCTGTTCCAGTTCGAGTTAATTAGATTTAACCCCGCCAACTTGGAACCATATCAGGGTATTCTTTTACGTTGTGTTCCTTAAAATATAGATTTGGTCTGTACACCGCAGCTATACGTATATATTTTTGTAATCATTCTTTTTTTCTAACGTTATTCTTTCACTCCGCGTTCTAGATTTTAAGAGTATGATTTTTGTCAAGCAATATCGTGCTTTAAATTCACAAGATATCTCTTCGTATATAATTTGTACGTTATTACTTGCAGTACAATAAAAAATTTATATAGCTAAGAATATCCCCCCTTTTTTTTTTATTATAATCTAAACAAACTCGAAACAAGCATGTCTCGATCGCAACCACTGAACAGGAAATAAGACGGCCGTATTATATAAATATTTATTGCTTTAGTACAATTACGTATCGTACATCGGACATTCGTACAAATTGATAGATTTGTCTTCGGACACTGACGTTATTATGTTATTTCGAAGTGGATTATATTTTACCGCCCATACCTACATAATATAATAACTTGTATCTATGAAAATCTTTAAACATTATATATTAATACTACATAACTTGATCTGAAACTTATTTAAAAGACATACCTGATCTTTATGTTCGTTGAATGTATGCAAACATTGTCTTTGCGCTAATTCCCAAACCTTGACTGTATGATCGGAACTGCTCGATGCGAACTGCTGTCCATCTGGTGAGAAAGCCACTCCGAGTACCCAAGAAGCATGTCCTGACATTGTTCCTGCTAGATTTGCATCTTTGCTAAATAAAAAAAAAAAAAAAGAAAAAAAAACAATATTCACAGTTGTTGTTAGTGTAGTTTATGTATTTGCACTGTCTCAAATTTTACTCACACATCGTACAACTTCATGTGTCCGTCATCAGATGCTGTGAGCAGCAATTGGGAATCCGGTGAGAAACACAGAGATCTGATTGGCATCGCATGACCTAAATAATAACAAAATTCATACAAGAGAAATAGAATATGTACTATTCTTGATTAATAATACTCTATAATACATATTGAAACCTGCCTTCTAGCGTACGCAATACTTTTCCATAAGCAACGTCAAAAATATTAATAATTCCATCTATTGCACCACTTGCAATATATTTACCATCAGGACTCTGAAATAAAGCTCTTTGATACAAATAATAATATAAAATTTTAAACACAAGATTTTTATTTAATTCACTTACATAAGCTACACTCAGAGTAAATTTTCCACCTCTTGTGTCCAATGTTTGTTCTTGTTTACCAGATTCAGTCCCATATAAATGTATTTTACCTGCATGACTGCCAGATACAACGAACTTATCATCTGGAGAAAATACCACAGTCCAAATATCCACCGGACCAACATCAATGCTGGTTAGTTTTTCTCCGGATAGCAAATCCCATAATTTTAAACTTGAGTCAAGTGAACTGGAAGCACATTCTACAAGACAAAAATTAAAACACACATGACACCAGTGACTTTATGGTTCTAGTTTTGCTTTAGTTTTTATTCTTGAGAATATTACACGTTCTGTAAAATTTGTAATAAGGAAAAATCATACAAACCAAGGATAAAAATATATCTAAGGTCATTGATATTACTACTGTCTACTTACTTGATCCATCTGAGCTGACAGCTACAGATACTACTCCCAAGGAATGTCCAGTTAACCTGTGCTTTACTCTCAAAGCACCATCCATGAATTCCCACACTTTTACAGCATCATCTACTGAGCCGGTCACTAAATATTCCACTGTCTCCTCTTCGGCAGATCGTACAGAATCTCTGTCAAATAACACGACAATAATAAAACGATTTTCTTAAAAATTGTAAACCGAGATAAGATAACCTTCTCAAATTACCGCGAGTCCTCATTGTCTTCATTGGGTTCGCTATTTTTCTTTTTCTTAGGACACCCCCATGCACAAGTCCATATGCTGTCTTCGTGAGCGTTTTCTGTTTTGTGAGTTAAAGAATACTGCAAAGAGATTAAAGTAGAAAAAAAAAACAACAGATAACAAAAAATAAGCAGATCTTTACTCACCATTATAGAACAAATAAATTTTTATTGAAACGCGAACGCGCGCAATTTAATGAGCGAATGCACTTTTGCAACTATGCAACAATGCAGTATCATATATTCCGTGTGATGCGTTTATGTCTCTTGTATGCTTTTGTATTTGCAAACAAAATGCTTACTTGACGCTGTTTTGCCGCGCAGGATCGCACACTAAGCACCGTACATAGTTCCAGCATTGCTGTGTTTAGCAAAACAAGCTGCTTTGCAGCAATCAAACGTGATTGGCTCTTACTTTTAGCACCAACAAATCAGTTTCGATTGTTGACAAAACGACAACTCAGCAATTGTTCTGTTAAATACGGCCATTCTGTTCTAGGTAGCGCTTGTGTCGAGGTCACAATTGCTTCAATCTTCAATAGTATAGAGAGAAGAGGTCAATAGGAGTATTTGATACAGGAAGTTAGCTTAGGTTAAGTTAGGTTTATTTAACCACGTGTAAAGCGCGAATTGTTTATGGAGAAAAAAATGGCTGGGAAAAGTTTAGCCGACAAAATAAATGACTTGATTACAACGAAGCCGGATTTAAATTCTGATGAGGAAGCCGAAGAGACGAAAGCTAAGGTAGTAGAACGTTACGACGAGAACGGTGCCTCAGACGATGAATTTCAGTGGTCCAAGATACGCGCACAGAATGTTGACACTCTGGACACGGTGGACGAAAGGTAACATTTTAATATTTTCGAGAATTTAAGTGTAATTATGTAAGTAAAATATTAATCAATGTTTTATTATAAATTGTTGTTTGCTATTGTAGATATGCTGGTAAAAAAGTCTCGAGAAAAGATGTATACAGTGACGAAGATAATGATGCGAGTGAGGATATAGAAAGTGAAGAGTCTGGAGAAGAAGAGGAAGAAGAAAAAGATGAAGATGAAGATGAAGATGAGGAGATAGACAGTACAATGGAACAAAGCGAGACAGATAATGATGAAGAGGCAGATTTGGAAGAGAAATCTGAAGATGCTGAGGAGGATATGTCTGAAGAAGAGGATGATTATATTGATAGCAAACAAAGCCAATCTACAATTAAAACAATGTCTGAAACAAATGTCAGAGCGGAGATTGAAAAAGGCAATTGCGTTAGAAATCAACTGAAACTCTGGGAGAATCTGTTGGAGATGCGGATAAAAATGCAAAAATGCGTTATAACTAGCAATCAAATGCCACAATATAATACCTACAAGGAGTTTAAGTCAGATATGGAATTCTCGAAGAAAGTCAATGAAACCAAGAACAATCTAATGCACACTTTAGACAAAATGCTGCAATTAAGAGATCTCTTGTTGATGCAATATCCTGAAACAAACCAACTGTGCGTTGGCTCAAAGAAAAGAAAAACTGACGAAGAGGAGAATACAAACACTGATGATCCCATGGATGAAGAAATACCATCTGATACCGAAGGCGAAGAAGAAAATGGAGAAAAATCATCTGCTGGTGAAGATGCAGAATCAGCTGAAGAACCAGTGCCACGGAAAAGACTGAAATATAACGATTATGAAAGAGTTTTGAATGAAAATTATAACTCCTATAAGGAATATAGAGACTCTGTTATAAAGAAATGGAACGACAAAACACGAATTGTAGGTTCGCTAACGAAAAAAGGCTCGGGTCAAACCACGTTGAAACAGATCGAGTTTGCTTTGAGCGACATGGCCAAGTTGCGAAAGAGATCTCAACTGAAGCGTTCTGAATACAGTATTGTTGGTAAATCGTCGCCAGTTCAGGATAACGACGGTAGAAGATTTCAAGAATATGATACAGAAATTTATGACGATGACGATTTTTATCATCAATTGCTAAGAGATCTGATAGAATACAAATCCTCAGATATGACGGATCCTATAATGCTCAGCAAGCAGTGGATCCATTTGCAAAACATGCGTAGAAGATTGAAGAGAAAGATCGACACTCGCGCGACGAAAGGCAGAAGGGTGCGATACAATGTACACAATAAATTGGTCAACTTTATGGCGCCGATTACGATATACGACACTTGGACGGACAATGCGAAAAACGAGTTATACAATTCGCTGTTTGGTAAAATAAAACCCGCGGAGGAGCAAGTAAATCAGTAATTGAAGTGCAAATTAGTTTCTATATTCCTTATTATAGAGTTAATACGATAATGATATGATAACGATATGATAAACGTATAATTTTGCTGTTGTAATATAAGAAAGTTTGTACATATATTTATAATACATTATATATATATATATATATATTACATATACTATATATATATATCCGAAATACAAGTATCAAAATAGTAAATTTGCGATACTTAAAGTTTTAATATAAGTTGTATAAAAAACGACACACAGTTTATCGTGCAAAGAACAATAAATTTTATAAGATAACAAAACAGTCTACTTTTACATTGCATCCCAAGTGAATAATAAATACTAAATGTAATTATGTATAAACATGTATGAAAGAGATATGCATTAATATGTGTAATATGTTATGAAAAGATGAATTATATAAAAAAGTTAGAATTATAAATTTATACAGTCTATTTATAATTGAATGTAATTAAAATCTTTTTATAACTGAATGAATTGGTACATAAATGTTTTCTAAGTGCGGTAATTTCCATTACGAAAAAGTGGTTTTATCACTCTTTTCTTTCTTTAATGTAAAATTCACAAATTAACTCTTATCATTAATTACGATTCTTAATGTTAATTACTTTGACAAATTTATGCAAGTTGCTAAGGCACACTGATACATCAGTAACTAGAATATTCATGCGAAGAAATATCTTTTTACAAACAAAAAATGAATAAGCTAATGAGCGGTTACGTAAGGATCTTTTTTCCGTTTTTTTTTTTTTTTTTAAGTCTCATTGATAAGACGCGCCATATCGCACACACATGGAACACAAACGACATTATCTCATTAAAGTTCTAGAACATTTAAAGAGGTTGCGATTGTTTGTTGCTTACTAACGAAGAAATTGTCTGAATTTTCATATCTGTATGCCCATTACTTTCTGAAATAAATTGGCTATATATACCGGTTGACTTTGTTTTATTCGTGCACTCACTTTTTGCGAGATACGCGAGATTTCGTTGCGTCGTTTTTTTTTTTTACATTTAATATCGAAAAAACACCCGCTACGCTCCAAGAAAAAAAATGAAATCTTTTTTGTTCGTTTTGTCAATTCTGTCGATGATAGTTAGCAACTTCGGCAACTTTCTTCTCGAGTACGAGTGGAAATACATAGATTACGTCTGGAATGACCCGCAGCACAAGCAGCAGGCGATAAATTCCGGCGAATACAACCCTAACGCGGTTTACTTGTTTGACGTAGACTACGCGGATGGTAAGCTACACATCTCTCTTTTTCAAATGGCTTGAAAGTAATTTTGTGTATAGTAAACGTTGATATTTTTTTGTCAATTATGATTTGCGTACTTCGCGACATTGCTAATGCAACTGATAAAGTAACAAACAAAAAATATGCGTTGACAGATGGCAGATTGTTCGTCACCGCGATACGAAACAAAAGTGTACCGGCCAGTTTAATGACAATAAGTGACCAAGTTGGCGAAGGGGGTGCACTTTTGAAGCCGTATCCTGATTGGTCCTGGTTTGAGGACGATTGCAAAGGCATTACTGGTGCTATTTACCAAACACAAGTGAGACTTAACATAATTTTAAGAACAAACATACATACATATCTTTTTTTTCTTAAGTTTTTTATTTCTCTCTTCTATCGCGTTGCTTAACTTTTTTACACATAATTTGCACAATAACAACATGCATTTTTTAAATCCCAGATCGTATGCAATCATCTTTTCGTTGTGGACGGTGGCAAGATTGACGAAGATCCGATTTGTCCTCCGCAATTGCTGATCTTCGATTTGTCGAACGATAAGTTAGTTAAACGTGTCATAATCCCGGATAACATTGCTCAAAACAAAAACGGTATCGGATTGATGTCGTCGGTCGCCGTTATAGCTCCAAATTGTTCGAACATAAAGGACAACGCGAGAGTTAGTACATTTTTCTTTGACCATTTTATTACGTCTCGATCGCTTTTTTTTTATTCTTGAAAAACAAACGTGAAGCGAACTTATATTAACAAAATTGCAAATCAGGTGTTGATAGGCGATACCGATGGTTTCGGTTTGGTGATATACGACGCGCCCACTTCGAATATCTGCAGAATCGAATCTGAATACATGAATCCGATTGAAACTAGTTTCAACCTCGATAATGGGACTTCTCTAGATTTTAGTCTAGATGGCCTCTTTGGTATGACATTCATCGGTAAAGGTAGGTTTTTGAAAAGATTATTCAAATAACAACTGTTTTGAATAGATTAGCTTTTTTGAAAAGATTATTTACTCAAGTGTAACTTGTGTTGTATGTGATAGAGAAAAAATGATGAATAATTGTGTGAATGTTTATAGCAATGTGTGTGAGAAAACGAAAATTTCGCTAGCTGTGTTTATGCTTTGCTTAGCTTTTTTTTTTTTTTTTATACCAGCAACTGCAAACGTCAGTTCGACAATGTTTCAGACTTATTCTATGCCACTTTTGGCGGAAGCAGAATGTACAAGTTAGAAACCTCGAAGATAAAATGCTCGTTAAGTTACGACGAGACCAATAAATTAATTCAACTAGCGGGTATGTTATCAGGCCAAACGGCAGCGATAACGTCCGAGAGATGTGCGATATTTTTCAGTAATATCGAGAAGACGTCTATTATGTGCGCAGACGCCACTAAGGAAATTAACGCCAAAAACATGGTAAGACATGTAATATATACGGACGTAATTATTCAGATAAGAGTAACGTCATTAATCACTGTTGTCGTAATGACGTTAAAACGTGATGTCTAATGACATCAAAAACAACGTCATAATAGAGTCACTTTGCTACCTGAACAGGTACTCTTCCGCGCATTGTTCGATAATTAATTATCTCAAATTTAGTACGAACTTTACGTTAGGTGAGTGAACTGGTAATGATGCAATTTCTGTTGTTTTTTGATGCAATTTTTCATATTTCAAGGATGTCGTTCTGCACGATCCAAAAATGGTGCAATTTGCAAGCGGCATGAAAAACCGAGATGATGAATTAGTGATCCTAACAAATAAGTATTATGCGTTCAATGGCTCGTTAAATTTACAAGAAGTGAATTTTCGCATTTTGTCAAAAAAATTCCAAGAAATACAGAAGACCAATCCAATGTGTTTCGCTTCTTGCAAGTAACGCACAAGATAATTTTTTGTATTTTAATAATTCACTTGAGTGTAAGTTGACAAAATAATTATATTTATATATCTTGTGTATGTTTAAAAAAATATCTTAAGCGTTTGAAAGTCACTTTACATGTATATTACAGAGGGAAGTTATATGAGCAAAAATATCGCACGTATATTCTCTTTCAACTTTGCTTCGAGAAAATTTTTAATTTTTCAAGATCTGGGACTGTATATATGTACGAATACAAAATTAAGTCGATTTATAAATAAGTAATATAAATGTTCTGTACGCATAAAAAATGTATAATATATTTATTAAAAAGAAAAAATATATGTATATGTTCTAAGTAAACATACACTTTCCTTGTATTATTTACAAAAATCTCATTTTGTCTTGTACCTAAACAATATTTAATTTTTAAAGATAAATCGACGATAATTATTGACAAAATATTCCACTGTGTTGTGATATCGTTTCTGTTTTCTCTTAACTCTGTACTTCCCAGATTGATTGAACTTATCAAAGTTCATCTTCCGCTCTCTCCATACATTTATCTTTAGAAAGAAATTGAGAACGAAACGAGAACCGCTTAAATCGAGCATCACTCTACTATTAGAGTGTGCGTAGAACAGCTACGATGATGATAACAAAACACCTCCGCAGATGTTCTCATCTTTTTAGATAAACCTTTCAAGTGATACTCCCGAGAATCCGCCGCGTGCGCGATTGCGTTCACGTTGATCTCGCGACTACTATCGTCGTCGTCGTCGTCGTCGTCGTCGCGGCGGTGATCTTCGCTCTGGTCACACTCCGACTGTGTGCTCGGCCGACGACTGTCTTTCCCGACACGTTGGTCATGTGCGATAAGGGATTCGACACTTGACCCCTTCACGCTGACTTCAGAATCGCGCGCGTTCCTACGGAATCTGCAGTACCTCGTCGATCATCGCACGCGCTTAATTATACTCGCCACGCCGAATTCGTTTGGTCGTTGGCAAATTCGCCCTCGTCGATCACGTGGATCAACAAAACGGGATCGCGCGCGCAATTCGCGCCGAAACTTGCATCAGTCCCCCGCGTCCTCAACGCGTTCGACATTTCGGCGCAAAAGGTGAACGATAAGCCTATTTTTTCTGCGTCTCGCCGCGATACAAAAAAAATTTCGTTTCATTTTTCTTCTTTTCTCCGAGTGTTTCGTCGGAGCGAGATATATGTGTCAGCATTATCGACGGTGATACCAGTCGACAGACCGGATTAGGTATAACGCACATAACAAAATTTTTCATTAAACACGCGAACTGTACGAGCAGCGGGAAGATTGTTCGCGCGGGTTAGTAACAGAAATTCACGATAAAAATTCACTTTCAGACAATTACGATTCAATATTGTGGTTTATTGGAAGAGATCGGCATACAATGTTCGTGGGTTCGATAATGAAGGTTTTAATTATTACAAAAACAATTGTTACATAATTTATTACATAACTTGAATGGAGATGAAGAAATATATTTCAATTTTTTTCTCTCCTTTCAGAGCATTAAACCGCATTGAGTGAGATATTATTAAATTTGCACGCAAACTCTCTCGTGATATTGTTTCTCGTTTCGTCACGTAAAGATACTTACGTAAAGATACAACTTTATACCTGTTCTCTTACCATTGAAAATAGCGCTCCTTTTCCATATATTTGTTAGAAAACGCGAGTAAAGGCTGGAAATACGTGGAAAATTGAGGAAAAGATACCGGCTTGTGCGTAGTAAGAACATTATCTAGGATCATCCTCGTTAGAATGAACCGTGGGAGAGACGTTGTTGTAGTATCGACTTTTTGATATATCGGAGCTCCACTGTTTACGGAAATAAAGATGAATTACATTGCACAAGGCCGCGTGTGTGTGTATTTAAAAATTCTGATTTTCGCAATCTTTTTATATTAATACATAATTTATATACAAAAAACAAATAAAAAGTGTTAAGTTTATTTTCATATCTCACATAGACATCTTTTTAATGTTTATATTTTGCTTCTATTAATTGTTTTAATTCGCATATATATATATATATATATATATATACGGTCGCTTGGCGTGTCCCAAATACGAACATTTATCGGGTTCGTTGTGCGAGACGATTACACTGTATTGATACGTCGATACGTGAGTCGACATGTGCGAAAGAGAGAATGATTCCTAATTGAACTATCAAGAACTTCGTTCAATGGAATCATATCATATTACGTGATTAACGCACACATGTAACATCACATGTGAAAAATTCTATATAACAAGTTCTATATAAACGATTTTCAACGACGACTCTTACAATATATAATAATTTTCGAAGACGACGTGTGCTTTTCGATTGACAGCGTCTAATCTCGCAGAAACGAAACAGTCTAGTTTTAATCTAATCTAAGTCGTTTGTGGGTGAAAACATCTGACAGTTCGACTTATCCCCAAGTCTGACAAATAATTGCGTAAAACGATTATTTGGACTGAAATCGAGGCAAATCGAGACGTAGCATCACACGCGCAGTCGTTTTTCTTTCTAAGCGAGATATATATTGTGAAAATAACGAGAACTCAGATAAAGATCGCGACAATTTATTATCTGCCGAGGAGAGAATTATTTTCTCGTGGCGTTGTATATTTATTGAAATCTTCCATCTCACACAGACGTATTATACATGCAGAATATATAATCCGCTGCGTAAGTACGTTTCACATGTTTCGATTTTGTTTTTAGATTAGTTACTTTTTTTCTGCGCCTATCTCTACATATTTTGTTCATAGTAGAAACTTTGCTTTTGTTTACAAAAAATGTTATCTAAAAGCTCGTTCCAGAACTTTGCCGATCTGTTTTTTTTTGCGCATATAAAAACACTTACATATGTTTTTTATACTTTTATATAAATAACATATTATCATTTCAATACGCATTGAACATATTATTTCTCTTCACAACAATCTGTTTTTGCAAATGCAAAATTGTTTTATAATATACAGCATTGGTAGAGTGTAGCCAAAACAAGAGCGTAATTCTGAAAAAGCATATCAAACTGCGACGAAGACGCTTGGGGTATCGAAGCAGATTAATTAGAGGAAAACAGCTCATTAGTGTCATTTATCTTAACGTGTATTCCTCCGATGCACTTTGCGCTTCGGGGCCGAAGTTTAGTTCCGTGTTACACTGCGCTGTGTTTAGCATGCGTGATGTCAAACGCGGATTTGGTACTTTGGAACGCGATCTACATTGATATTTCATTTGCGCGCAGTAATACAAAATTACGAAGAAAAGATAATCTCGCGGCTTTTTGCTGCTTTTTTACCGCGCAAATGAACGAGCGAGCTTTAGTTCAATTCCGAGAACGGTTCGCGCAATAGTCACAAAAGATTGGACCTAATTCGTGTCTCGACGGCCTACGACACACACTCGGAGACCTGCGCTGAAGCTCTAGCGGGTCAGCGATAAGTGAAGCGAATCAGTATTACAACGCACCCCGCACGATGAGGGTTCGTTGTTATTAGTGAAAAGAAAGGGCTAAACTAAGTCGAGAGTGACGGATGTCGCTCCGAAATAATAATTTCGCATTTTTCGCACACCCTCGAGTGGCCTCTTTTATTGTGCGTTTCCATTTTACATTCACAATTGCAACGTGAAAGCAATTGCATTTTTTTTCAAATTTAATTCAACAGTGTAAGAGGCAAACTCACTTTTATGAGATATTTCTGTACAATGCTATTAAAAGACAACTTTAAAAAATTCTTTTCTAAAAAGACAACTTTAAAATTCTTTTCAAACTCTTTCTCGCACGTAAAAAATGTTACTGTTTGAAAGTTTTTTTTAAAATTCAGATCAAATATAATCAGTAAAATATTTACAGAATATACTTTATAGAGAAATCTCAAAAATTTATAATAAAAATAGAGTAAATTTCAACGCAGTTCTGGTACATTGTAATATTTTATTTATGTATATCTATATGTATGTTTTTTTTTTTTTACTGCGTATTTGACAATTACTTACGCGTCGGATTAAATTAGGTGTCGCGCGTCTTAATGTAACACAACCCTACGAACGTGTTGGAATTTTGACTGCTGCGTTTAAAGGCCAAATTGCTGACCACAAATAAATCATAGCGTGGCAAACATTCGTCGAAACACGACTGTGCATCTTTTCCGTGAGAATTGTGTGGCCGTCTTTCACTAAAACGTACCGTGAACTAGATGCATTGATCTATTGTTTCCCAAACTTCCCGAGCTAAAAGTGCAGGCGTGAGGTGTCTCGAACGAATTCGCGTTACATATCAGACACCTACATACCATCTCCATTTCCGATCTAAAAGAGTTCTTCTCTTCTTGGTTTCCAAACAAAATCACATTTAAAAAAATTCTTAATTAGCCAACACCTTAATTAAAAAAAAGATAATAACTCATATCTTACAAAAATATATATAGTTTTTTAACACACAATATGCAACACTTCCAGACAAAGTGACAATCCGATTTCTGACGAAATATGGACGACAACATGATGCAATTGAATGAGACCGGCAAAGACTTCGAGTGCAATGAAACGGAGCTGCCGGATAATTTGCGCTTCAATGACGGTCACTTGGTGACGATAATCACTTACAGCATACTAATGGCGATATCAGCCGCTGGAAATATTACCGTGCTGATAACGACCTTAATAAAGAAACGGAAATCGAAGTCCCGGATAACCACCCTCGTAATGCACTTGGCGATCGCTGACCTCCTTGTAAGTAAAACAACACGACAACAACGATACAATCCGAATGTGCTAATTTTACTGCAATTAAGTGTAACAAATCCGTGTGAAAAAAAAAAAAATGTAAAAAGTAACAAAAACGCACAATCTTGAATTCGGAAAAGAATAAATAAACTTTAAACAACGTATCAGAGACCATTGTTTAAATGTTTACAAACGAAAACGCAAACGATGTAATTTAATGTGTTGTTTTGGACAGGTGACGTTTTTAATGATGCCGCTCGAAATCGCATGGGCAGCTACTGTGTCTTGGGAAGCCGGTGACGCGATGTGTCGCATCATGGCTTTCTTCAGGACATTCGGCCTGTACCTGTCATCTTTTATCATAATTTGCATAAGCATAGACAGGTGAGCGCCTATGTGATCATCTCACAAGTCGAAATTATTATCATGGGAACAGGCGTTTCTGTGATTTTGTTATCATCGTCATCACCCGCGTTAAAACATTCAATTCTATTTAGAGTAAAAACCAAAACGCATTCGCGTTTCAGATATTACGCTGTAATGCGACCGCTGCAGGTGCTGGATGTTTACAAGAGAGGAAAAATAATGCTGATGATAGCGTGGATGAGTTCCGTGCTTTGTTCATTGCCACAAGTACGTTCAATTTTCACGTTTAATTGATACAAAAATCGCATAAATTTAATTCGGACATCAAATGTAAATCGTAAAATTCTCTGATTTGTTTTTTTTTTTATTTTTGTCACACAGATGCTGGTGTTTCATGTCGAAAAGCATCCGAACTTCACCTGTTTCACCCAGTGCGTCACCTTCAACACTTTTCCGTCGTACATGCCCGAAGTTTCGTACAACTTGTTCAGCATGGTGGCAATGTATTGCTTACCCCTCGTTGTTATATTCTACACCTACACCAGTATTTTTCTCGAGATCTGTCGCAGATCTCAAGAAAATGGCGAAGGTAAAACGCTTTGTTCGCGCGCGATCGATATTTGAATCAATTATACGCTTTATCTCTACGAAACTTTTTTTTTTTATATAAAACCTCTCTAACATTATATCTCTGCTTAAACGATAACAAACAACAAAGCAATTGATTTTACTAATCGCGCTCTCTCCGTTTTTTTTTTCAGGAAAATTACGTCGTTCTTCGATCGGTTTTCTAAATCGAGCGCGAGTGCGCACTTTAAAAATGACGATAACCATTATCGTCGTCTTCATCGTCTGCTGGACTCCTTATTACGTAATGAGTGTTTGGTAAATAATGATAACTTTCGATTTGTCTTTCGTTAATTTCTTAAATGATTTTGTTAACTAAAACCGATTAGAGATACCGAAATCACATTTATAACGACGTTGTACGCATTTGGTAGTATCGTCGCAACACTGATTACGCAGATACGAAAAACAAGTAGTGACGATATATGACTTTTATGCGAGCAACGTTCATGGCCGTAGATACGCTTGTGTAAATTCTGCCTCGTTATATATACAAAAAAAAACAAAAATAATCCGCGTATTCGAGTTCAACTAAATCGCACGAAAATAAACTGTCGCATTACAATTGTCGATTTTTCGCGTATGCGAACAGGTACTGGATCGATCGATCGTCAGCTCGAGAAATCGACGAGCGCATTCAGAGGGCTCTCTTCTTTTTCGCGTGCACCAATTCGAGCATGAATCCCATCATCTACGGCATTTTCAACATACGACAGAGAAACAAAGTAAGTGTATCTTTTATTGCGTCTATATGTGATAATTGTATCAAGTCATAAATTAAAGCTTCTCCTATTTTTTTCTTTCTCTCTCTCGTATCTCGTTATATAAAGTAATGAATATTAGAGACGCGCGCGTGTGTATGTGTGTGTGCAGCAAAACATTTTCTCTTTCTATCTGTACAAATCCGTGACTCACACTGATAGAAAGTCGTACATGTGAGACATTTAAATATTCAATATGCATATACACATATGCGTAACTATCTCGCAGCCCCAGGATTAATCAAATTGTACATTTGATTGTATCATTGCCAATTTGAAGCGTGAAATAGAAGATTACTCGAATAACATGTAATTCTATTAACGATGATCCCATTAACCCGATTATCCGCGCTCTGTGTTGTTGTTAATCCGCGCGATTTTTGTTTGTATAAATTGCAACATTATAAATTACAACACAATGATACACATATTCTCATAGGTGGAAAAAAAAACTGGTCTCTCGCATCAATAACAATTTTACGTACACGTTAATTTGTCACGTCGGATAATATTAAAACTTTGCGTACTAACACATTTTTGCATTTATTTTCATTTCCTCGTTCTCTGCTGATGTGCGTTCGATTTAACAAGCCGCCTGTTGTCCGTACTTCCAGACAAAGCTTCAGTCCTATCCTCTTCTGAGGCCGATCAACACAACCATGGAACTTCCAGTCGTTGCGTATGCTAGAGATTCAATTTTTACCGTTTTCGTAATAGCCTTACCGATTCTCTTTAACCCTCCGATTTCATGTAACAGACGTTCATCGCACGATCCTGCTCGTGGTAACTATACCATTGTACCTCAACATTGCTTTATTTACTAATTAATAAATTATCTCTCATTCTTTCATCAACGCATTCACGTATTTCTATGCATGAGACTGACATAAAACAATGTTAAAAAATTGTCGGAAGAAATCAAACCATGGATCTTCCGACGTTCTCGAATACTTCTTGAAAATCTTTTTTTTTTTTCGTTTTAGGCGCCGACGCGTACAGCCACCATCGAGACCCGAATCACGCCGCTGTCTCTTTCCGTCAGAATTCTCGATTGAAGATGAACGCGACGTTCACCAGATCGAACGGATGCGTTTAGACGAGTGAAAAATCGACAAATGTCCTCGTCACTCTTCGCAACTCTCTTTCTGCGAAATAATCAGATTACTTCACAATACACTACATATCGCAGACCTCTGTGGATACCGTCCAAACGCCAATGCAAATCAGTGCAGCGTCGTGCAATACACAGAACTCTCAAAAAGTTCCTCATTCATATTCGGATAATTAACACGTTCCGTGTTCTAACTCTTTTTTCACGTCTTTTCATAGGCGGACAGACCCATAAAGAACTCTAGAACCTGGAAGAGACATTTATAATTATAAATATTTTATTATGAACATGTTATTATTTAATTTCGAACAATTTTACATATTTGAATATTTTTACACATTTCTGTATAGTTTTCCATTGAACGCGCACGCGTTTATGCAATAAGATGAAGATCACAAAAATGGCCTGGAACAGAAAAATATCAACAAAAGTCACAAATAATCCAAGAATCACGGAACGTGTTGAACAGCAACGATAAAAGTATCTGTGATCGATCGAGTTGATCCAGATGAAGAAAGAAAATCCTGACAAATTCTCGGTTCACGCACGACGAAGAAGAGATATTTTCCTTAAACTGCGCGCTCGTTCATTTTTGGATGTATTTATTTTTTCGACGTTAGTGCTATAAGATCTAGGACTTATTTTATACGTATTTTATATATATATATATATTTTATACGTATTGATATGACACAAGTAGAGAGCACATGCGCACACGCCTTTTCTCGAATATGTGTTTTTTGTTTTCCTCTTCTTCTTCTTCTTCTTCGTTTTATAATTTTTTTCAACGCGCACGCGGCTGTACAAACAAATAATTACGTAAGAGCTACTTGTATACTGCTTATGTTTTCGTATAAGTTTCATAAAAATGGAAACGAAGATATGAATAATTTGTGTTCGTGTCTTATCTACAAGTTTTATACGTGAATAATACATTTTTTCGTTATTTAAAAATTTTAGCGTGTTTAATTTAAGGGATAAGTTTGCAAGACAGACTTACTACTGTATTTCTCTCTCTGTGTAAATAAACAAAAATATAAAATAAGGCGTACAATGAAGAACAATTCGAAACGTCTCAACATTTACTAACAAATTATCATTACTCCCATTATTTTCACATTAATTGCAAAATGTATCAACGACATTAGATTTTAATAACGAAGAAGAAACAACGAAAGAAAATCCGAAGAGATTTTTTGCTCAATCTCAAACGCGTAAAAAATCGTACCTACAATGCCGTTTACTTTACATAAAAAAGTGAATCGTGCAATTATTCAGAAAATTTCTGTAAAACTTCCGGCTTACATTCGAGTCAACGCGGATAATAATGAGACGAAGTCTAACGGTGGGATCCGTAAAGATTGCTTTCGTTCCGTCACATTTTGTTTTACGTATGAACGAAAGCGTGGCATAACGTATCGAAACACAACAACGAGCATTTCGTCTCGTTATAATTTTTTTGATTGAAGTGTGTGTTCGCTTGTCATCCGTTTACAACGCGACACTTTACAAATAATACATCACGTTGCGATTTGATTATTTGCATCAAAAGAATCACTGACGAATTGCATCTAACAAATAATAAACATATTAAAAAGAAAAATTTATTGAACTTTACTTTATAAAGTCGCGGACAGTTTGTATCCGTGTTTCAGTCACTGAATGTCTGTAAGAACTCAATTCCGATACAAGACATCGAAAGAATCTCAAACAATAAAAAAAGAAAAAAAATTGCGCGACAAATGACGCGTATCTCTCCGATCGTTTTTATTTTTAATTTTATTTGTCGTAAATGCAATCACGGGGAATTGTGTGAGTGAAGAATAATCGCGAAAATTGTCAAAATGCAAGTCCTGACTATATTGATTCTTGGGCTGTTCGCTATTTGCGCTATCGATAGCAAGATCATATACGATAAAGGTAAGAATTTTGCACATGTATAAGGACTACATAGTGCGGAATACAATTTAATTGTTAATAAAATATACCTCATGGCATTAATTATACACGCAGTAATATAAAAATTTTTTTATTGTATTTTTTTCGCTGAAAAATTTAATCTTTGTACTATGGAAGAGATTCTCAGTCCACTGAAGGCGGAAAACCCGACAGTGACGTAAGATCCATGCGGTAACTCCAGCTTTGACAGTTGTTCATCACTTCGCATTCCGCTGCTAAATTTTTTACTCTTTTTTATAATAAATAAATTAAGAAATCACAATAATATGTATCTAACATACAATATGTAATGTCACATTACGTTGTTGTGAACGACGTTGATTGTTTAATATCTTATGCTTTTCTTTCCTCATCTTGTCGGTTTTCGACAGCTCTGACCGCAAGTCTGCGAGACATATCTGACGACGATGATTTCGTTATTGTGGTGTCCGACATCAAAAGCAAGAAGAAATCTTCCCTGGTTGACACTTTGCTAGCCCTGAGATATGAGAACTCGCGGAATAAAATAAAACTGATACACGAGCGATGGACAAATCGCGGTAAGAGAAACACAATTTCTTTTCTTCTAGAAACAATATTTGACGGTATACAATCTTTTCTGATATCTTTGAATTGTACGTATCGCCAAGTCACCGATGTTCAACGTTCCAGTTTTATTGGAAAATTTTGGAGAAAAGAATCGTCAAAAAAATAAAAACATCAATATGGACAGCCTCGGTGTGGACATCCCACAAATGAGTATGATCATTTTGGTGCATCAGACACAACCTAATTCTCGTTTGGATGTGTACGTCGATTGTATTTATGAAGGCTCGATACCATTCCAGAAGACTTTCCGCGATGTATTCCAGGACAAATCCAGCCCGAAGCTGAAAATAGTAAGTTTTCGATGATAAAAAAAAAAAAACGTTTCGCTTTTACGCGCACTGTTATTTTCCATATTCTGTTATTTTTCTAACGTAATAACATAATGATAGGAGAAATATCTCGTGAGTTTTTTGCAGTATTATTGGTTTCAGTTTAGAGAAGAACAATGCTCGGTGAAAATGTATCGCACCGCAACGATCACCGACGCTTTACGGAAAGAGAAGTGTCCCGACGACCCTAAAAAAAAACCGAGCAGACAGAAGAAGACCGATCGTCCGTCAGATGAGACCGAGTCAGGTGACGAAACATTAGATCAGAAAAGTGATGATCTAAGTTCGGACGATGATGAATCTAACAACAAGAAAAAGAAACACGGTCGTCCAAGCGATTCGCACAAGAAAAAAAACTCGCGTAAACCAGGACACGGTAGCTCACCTAATGGAAGTGACAAAAGTGACGAATCAACCACGTCGGATCAAAATGACGACTTGACGCCATTTGATGATTCATTGAATCCTTTAAAAAAGAAAACACCTAAGAAGAGTCAAAAAGATCGTTCGGACGATCGCGACAAACGTCGTCCAGGAAGTGATAATCTATATGACGATCACGACAAACCGGATTCAAATTATGACTACCCGGATGGATCTCAATCTTTGCACACATCAGAATCTGCTGAAGACAATCGTCCCAATAAACGGCCTAGAAAACCTGGTCGACCTAAACATCAACCAGGATCGAAATTTGACGATTCGGATGATGATTATCCGGATGGATCTTGGCCGCTGCATCCTTCTGGAAAAGATCGTCCCAATAAACGTCCTGGAAAATCTAGCCGACCTAAACATCAACCAGGATCGAAATTTGACGATTCGGATGATGATCATCCGGATGGATCTTGGCCGCTGCATCCTTCTGAAAAAGATCGTCCCAATAAACGTCCTGGAAAATCTGGCCGACCTAAACATCAACCAGGATCGAATCTCGATCCATATGACACAAATGACATATCCGACGATTACGATTCTTCCCTGCCGGACGACTACGACGACTACGGAAACCCCAAACAACCTGGTGGTTATTCTCCTGGTCGTGGACGGCCTGGTTCTTCTTTCGGTCCTACTCGACGTCCGAATCAGACGATGTCGCAACCTGGCAAACGACCTCAAAAAGACGACATTCAAGGTATAGACGGTAAAGGTGAGCGAAATAAAAAATAAAAAATTAAAGTCGCGCAATGTTCGTTATTTTATTTAATCGTAAAATGTTTTTCTAGACTGCGACACTCAAATTGTAAGAGCTTTGAACGATTTAATCAAGGTTAATAAAAAGCTCGGCCGAAAGCTGGAAGATAATGTAAGTGACATAACGAGAATAAATAAACATTCTCATCACTTTGCGAAATAAACTGTGGAACAATTAAAACATTATTATTTTATTTTTATAGAAACAAGAAATTTCTTATTTGCGTGACTTGATCGAAAATTCGGAGTATCTGAATACCGGTGAGTGACATTCCGTCGTATTGCATAAAGGACATGTGCTTTAAAATATAAAATAGTTGTTTTGTTCTTAAGAAATAGTCAAAGTAAGATCGTAATGTCAATCAAGTGACACTTTGTTTATCTCTCGCCATTCTTGTAACACTCACATTTAACTTATGCGTGACAGAATTCACACACACACACAGAATAGAAATACTTATTTACATTCAACAACAGTTGTATATGAATTTAATCTCACAACGAAATAAATATCTGTTACTAGAAAAATTTCATTTTGTTGTGACTTTCACGTGCATTTGCGCGGTCTACAATTATTCATTTTTGTATTTGCAAACAAACATTTCCCCACGAACAATTAGCGAGAGTGTGTGTTTTTTTTCCAACGATAATTCTTATCCGAATTAATTGTTTTTCCGTCCGCTAGGATTTCTAATTTTTTTTATCACTATTCTGATATCGAGAAACGATTTTTACTTCAAATGACACTTGCATCTCTATATTCTACAAACAGAGAGTAAACAATATACAACAATAGACTAGGCAGCTTTCCACGTGCGCCGTGTGGGAGATTATGAGCGAGATTTATTAAAATAAAAATCCATCACACAAAAATTGGCAAAATTCACTCATCAAGTCACTCGAGCCGTGATCCCGGTAATTCCGCAGTGCAACCACAGCTGCAGCTTTCCACGTGCAACTTTAATTCACCGTGTTATCCCGGCGTTTACTGTCGCGACACACCGAGAGGATCCAAGTGCGGTTCCTGTCCCCACGGCCTCACCGGAGACGGACGTATTTGCAGCAAAATCATCACCTGCGCCGACCAGCCTTGCTTTCACAATGTGCCTTGCTACGATCTCAGCGACGGTTACAAGTAAATCCAAAATGATAAACTATACTATGTATAACATTCACGACTTGGCAGTTATTAGACATGTAAAATATTGAATATTAATTCGCGCGCGTATATAGTGTGTGTAAAGAAATATTTAAATAATTTAAAGAAAAAATATTACATTTGTGTAATTGTTTTTTAGATGTGGCAAGTGTCCAAAGGGATACATTGGCGATGGTAAAAAATGCAAAAAGCACAAAGATCCTTGCGATGATGATCCTTGTGATCCGCTAGTCGAGTGTTATTTCAAACAGCGCCCGCCGTACTTTAAGTAAGAATACGTTACACACTTTTTTGCTGCATAAAATAGACAGTTGCATCTTAATTCATTATCTTTATTCGCTTTTCAACATAATACGCGCGAATATAGTCAATTTCGTCATCAATCGCCGATCAATTTTGAAACTCTATTGAAGATGTGGCCCATGCCCGTCGGGATACGTCAGCAACGGCACGAATTGTCTCGACGAAAACGAATGCGAGCTGACTGAACCCTGTTATCCCGGAGTGCAATGCGTTAATTTGCAACCCGGATACAAATGTGATCCTTGTCCGTCGGGATACAACGGAACGGCGACGGAAGGTGTCGGTGTCGACATGGCGGAAACGGAAAAACAAATTTGCGAAGACATAGACGAGTGCGAGATCAACAACGGCGGATGCCATCGTTATTCGTTGTGCATTAACACGCCGGTAAAAAATATAACAGACAAAAGTAAACATATGTTATATTACTGAGTGTTTGTATTATTGAATTTGTGTTTGCGTATTCTTGAAGGGATCCTTCGAATGTGGTCCGTGCAAGAAAAACTACGTCGGCAATCAGACATTTGGATGTTACCATCGGCAAGATGTGTGTCCCGATTTAACAACAATATGCGATCTCAATGCTGATTGCGTTACCTTGTACAAAAATCACTATGGATGCAATGTAGGTATCGCGAATCTCTCATCTCGGCCAAAAGTTTACGACAGAATTTACGCGCCAGAAGAATATTTCCATCTCACACGTGACATGATTTATTGCAGTGTCGCGTCGGTTGGGCCGGAGACGGATTCACTTGTGGCGTTGACACCGATAACGACGGTATTCCAGATTCCAGTATCCTTTGCTCAGCTCGTCAATGTCGCGCCGACAATTGTCTCCAGGTACCGAACGCGGGACAGGAAGACTACGATTTGGACGGAATCGGCGACGCTTGTGACGACGACGCCGACGACGACGGCGTATTGAACAAAAACGACAATTGCAAGCTTACGCATAATTCGGATCAGTTGGACAGCGATCAAGACAATATCGGCGATGCCTGCGACAATTGTCCGTTTATCAGTAATCCGAAACAAGAGGACACCGATAAGGATGGCACAGGCGACGCTTGCAGTGACGACAACGATAACGACGGTAACAAATTGCAAAATGTTTAAAACAAACGATTAACACCAAATTTACAGAATCCAAAAAATATACAAGAAAATATATTAAAAATAAGATTTTTTAAGCTTTAAAATAGAATTTCAAAGTTCTGTAGAATTTAGAACAAAAAACCCATGTACTGATAAAGAAATAATCGGACAGGTGTTCCGAATTCTGTCGACAACTGTCCCGTGGTGATAAATTTCAATCAGATCGACACCGACAACGACGGTGTCGGCGACGCTTGCGACAATTGTCCGACCATAAGCAATTCCGATCAGGCGGATCGTGACGCCGATCATGTCGGAGATATGTGCGACAACGACATTGATTCGGACAGAGATGGTGTTCAGAACGACAGAGACAATTGTCCGACCGAGGCAAATGCCGGACAATACGACATTGATCGGGATGGCATCGGTGATGCGTGCGACGACGACATCGACGGCGATGATGTGCCCAACGAGATCGACAATTGTCCTTTCGTGTACAATTCGGATCAGTACGATTTTGATGGTAAGTATGAGTCTTTTTTTTTTTTCATAGAGCAAGGTAATAACATGATTTTCCTAATTTCTTGTTGAAATGCGCGTATTTTTGTTTGTACGCGTTTAGATGACGGCATCGGCGACGTGTGCTGGAACGACAACGACAACGATACTTACATCAATATAATTGACAATTGTCCGAACAACAGTCAAATATGGAGTACAAACTTCTACAACTATAAGACGATTGCTCTCGATCCATTCCAAGATACGCAGATAGATCCGGCATGGATAGTTCTTAATCAAGGCGCTGAGATACGGCAGATTTATGACAGTGATCCTGGAATCGCGGTCGGTGCGTTTTTTGTGAGAAAAATATTTTAAAAATTGAAATGTTTAAGTCAACGTTATTGAAAGTAATTCTTTTAATCTTTTATTTAATAAGGAATGGTAGACTTTGGTAATTATAATGATTAATTTGAAAAGAAACAGACGATATAATAAACTCATTTTCAATTCTTTTGTTCGCAAAGGTCCGCACGAGTTTACGGGCGTCGACTTCGAAGGAACATTCTACATCGATAATCACGACAACGACGACGATTTCGTGGGTTTTCTTTTTTCTTACCAGAATAATCGACGCTTCTACCTTGTTAGCTGGAAAAAGGGTCACCAGATGTACTGGGGTGCACAGACCTCATTCAGATACAAACCCGAGGCCGATCCTGGAATTTATCTAAAACTCGTCGAATCCACAACCGGACCGGGCGAATATCTCAGGGACGCTCTCTGGCACAAAGAAAGCGTTGAAAATCAGACGAAAGTTCTGTGGAAAGATCCGTTGCAGTTACCATGGGAGCCAAGAGTGCCGTACAAATGGTACTTGATACACAGACCAAGAATCGGTCTGATAAGATTGTGGCTGTATCGGGACCAGAAAGTTGTCACCGACTCAGGAAACATCTTTGACTCGACTCTACAAGGCGGCAAAGTCGGTCTTTTTTGTTTCTCACAAGAATTGATCACCTGGTCTAATTTACATTACAGTTGCAAAGGTAAAGCAAGTATGAACACAATAGAAATTATGCATCGATAAGAGATAATTGTGTGATGTGTTTTCAGAAAATCTGCCTACATTGATGTGGGAAAGCTTGCCTGATAATTTAAAGCCACTTATCGAGGAGGAGCCCTTTGTACCGTCCGCCAACAGCAACCCACAATTAAACAACCCATGATTGATTTTGTAAATATTTGAGGAAAATGTGAAAGAGCACAAAAAGTGTCTTGTCTTGACTATGAAATAAACGATGTAATTGGTAAAAACAATCGTCAGAAATTTTTCAAGACTTCTACATGGACGAGTTCTGAACCTGCGATGTGTCCAACTATTTTTCTCGCGCGAGTAATTGCGTTATACGACAACGTAATTGTGTATTTCAGTTGGTAAAAGAAAGAGAATCATTATAAATATATTTTTCTAAGAAATGATCTCATCTACCCAATGCACGAACTTGATCGTCGCAGTTGAATCTGCATGACTTCATGAGCTATATATATATATATCGAGTTCAGACGCATATCGTACCGGTGATTAGGATGGAAAATAGATCACAAGGATTCGGAACGGCTGTGCAAAGTCTCGAGTAACATTTGACAAGGTTAAAACGATTATATTAACACGAAATTACTTCGGGGATTCGGTAAGATCGCTTTCGTTCCGCGTGTTTGCAACGCCGCGTTAATTCGCACAGACGATGTCTGTCAGACGTTTCACAATGAAACACAATACGAAACATCTCATCTTGCTTATAAATTTTCCCGTTATCTGACAAAAATTAAACGCATTAAAAACAATTTGTTGTTTTCTGATATCCCAAATTACTAATTGATAAAAAAATTTATTTCAACTGGCCGTTAATAAATTTCAATTAATTGACGTAGAGATCTTTCAATTGTCATCACTTTTAATTATAATCGATGAAACTGGCAGATAGAAGTCACTATATTTTCGAAGACACCTTATATATTGTCGCAGAGAAAACTAGGCTACATGCAGCGTGTCTACGGTTTGAAACTGATGTGGATGTGTAGGTGGGACCACTTCCCACACACGCGTAACTGGCACGCCAAGCGACATTGTTACATACCTGTTGCAAGGTCCGTCGTATCGACGAGACAAACTGAGTTGCTATCACAAACTCTCGGAGATCGGAGAACCGTTTCTCCCTCGACAATAACATTTAACAAATTGGCAAAAAATCGAAATTTTCTAATGTCTAAGCTTATCGTTTATTCGTTCGTAGAGTACGCGCGATGACAATTTTTTTACAGAGCAGCGCCAAAGAGTGACACAGAATACTAATGTGAGAATGACTGTATACTTTCCGTGTTAATCAATTCCGCCGAGGAGTTTCTCGTATTACCGTAGAAGGAAGTGATTAATTTATATCGGCGCCGCTTGCGACGACGCTCCCTTCCGCTATGACTGTTTCTTATCGTTAAAAACAGCACGTGTACACATAATATTGTCATCGGATTAATGTGCTAGCGTGACATCAGGACTAAGCACTCGATCAGATCATGTGACAATAATATTGCTTGTTCATTTCTACTTATATATATATATATATATATATATATAAGAGTTATCGTTCAATAGAAGTTTTTTGATCAATTTTGTCAGTAAATCTTTCAGAAGAAATGTGTGAATTATTTATCTTGTTTTAGCACAGTTTCGCCACTTTTGCTCGAGCACAAATTTCGATTCTTGTAAAGTTATTTATCTCTCTTTCTATTTCCTTTTTTTTTTATATGCAAAAAAGTTGCATTTTTAAGAGATTCTCGAGAGCTTTACACTTAAAAGTACAGCTGCGATATGTAACGTACGCAGACGTAATTATTTCCCGTAATTATAAAATAAAAATCTTACTACACTTTTTCATGATCGCGATCGTCATCAGTATTCCGCTCGCTATTGATGCAGACTAGCGCGCACGCTAAATCTTTTACATAAACTCGTAATCGTAGGCGACGTATAAAGTCGCGAACAGTCCGCGTCCACGCTTCAGTCGGCGATCGTGCCGTCTGTATATCCGCGCGTGTCCCTCGACGCATCCGTCAGAATCTTTCGTACCGCGACTTCGATACGAGACTTCGATCGAGAGATTATCTCAAATCGCATGAAGAAAAAATTCAAACGCGAAAAAACGACCGCGCTTTCTCCGCAACTTCCTTTTTTTTCGCAGTTTAAATATAATCGTGAGTAATAATTGAGGATTAATTGCGCGAGATAATTCGGAAACGCGTCAGGATGCGAGTCCTGACCGTGCTAATCCTTGGGCTGCTTTCTATATGCTACGTTAACGGCAGTGTCATACCCGACGAAGGTGAGAAATTTGAAAAGTGAACAATAAATTTCAAAAACTTAGGTTTTTCTCTACAAATCAAGTGTTTAATTAATATCAACAAACTTGCACGTAATAAAAATCGTTTTTTAATAAAACATCTTTTCTCGCTTTCTTTACGAAAGAGCGTGGTGTTTGCACCAAGTCAAAGACAGTCTCGGTCTGACAACGCAACAAAAAACCCGCTAGTAACGTGAGATCGCTGCGTAATACTCTTCAACTTCTACGGGGGTCACTCAACTCCTGTTTATATTGCCTTTCGTTGCTACGTCTCTCGTGTTTTCAAATAAATTTTAAAAAAAACGTAAATTGCAATTGAGACATACGTATATATTTCTATATATTTTTATTTGATGTGTGATTCGCTTATTATATAATTTTATATTAAGTTGTTTAATGCGCGATATTGTGCTTTTGTTAAAAATCATTTCCCTTTTTTTTTTTTTTTTGTCTTGCCGACTTCCGACAGCTCTGAGTGCGAGCTTGCGGGAAGCACGGTATGACGACGAGTTTGTTATCGCGCTGTCCAACATCAAAGGCAAGAGAAAATCCACTAGCGGTTCGATCGAAACTCTGCTAGCCGTGAGACAAGAAAACTCGAGAAGCAAGATAAGATTCATACTCGATCGACGAGCAAAGCGCGGTAAGAGAAGAACAAATCGTTTAAAGCAATATTTCCGCTACGAATTTTGTTCGTAGTCACACAAAGTCGATGTTCGACACGTTTCAGTTATATTCGAGGGTCTGGACGAGAACGGCCAACGCTACGACGGGCACGTAAACGTGAACAGTCTATCGGAGAACACGCCTGTGAAGAGTTTAATCGTTCTAGTGCATCAGGAACAATCCAATCCTCACGTAGACGTATACGTCGATTGCACTTACGAGGGCTCTGTATCGCTCCACAGATTTTTCCGCGACGTATTTCGAGACGAATCCAGTGCGACACTGGAAGTGGTAAGTTTCCAACACATACACACACACACACGTACACACACACTGTATAAAACGTTTTACTTCGGATTTTATTTCGCTCCGAAATTAAATTTTGTCCTCGCTTTCCTTCCTCGCTCACGACATCGCACGGCAATTTTTTATTTACGTGCTGTTCGTGACGTTCCCGAACGTGGGACGACGTCTTTCCAAATATGGTCGACAAGACCTAAGCTAGCTCGCTTCCATATTACGTGCACCTGGTCGACTTACCCAACCTAGACGCAACGATCTCCGACTACTTAGATGAATTGAATTCGTTTCAATGAATTATTCCCGCTCTATCAAGAGGCACGGTAGTGCCTCGCGCCAAGTTCACGCGCAACGAAGTGGCGCTCGAACTGCGCGAGCACACCGTGCCTCTTATACGCGAGATTCAGGCAATTCAGTGGAGGGGAAATTTGTAATCAGTCATTTCTTAA